GCCAGATAAAGTGCCAGAATGTTTGCCAGATAGAATGCCAGAAGATTTGCCAGATAAAGTGCCAGAATGTTTGTCAGAAGATTTGCCAGATAATATGCCAGAACATATGCCAGAAGATATGCCAGGTAGAATGCCAGAAGATATGCTAGATAGAATGCCAGATAGAATGCCAGAAGGTATGCCAGATAAAGTGCCAGAATGTTTGCCAGATAGAATGCCAGAAGATTTGTCAGATAATATGCCAGATAGAATGCCAGTTAGAATTCCAGAAGATATGCCAGAACATATGCCAGAAGATATGCCAGGTAGAATGCCAGAAGATATGCCAGATAGAATGCCAGAAGATATGCGAGATAGAATGCCAGAAGGTATGCCAGATAGAATGCCAGATAAAATGTCAGATAGAATGCCAGGAGATTTGCCAGTAACAAGATGTATAAATGTCATGGTGGGGATCACACGAAGTAAAGTAATTTAACATAGCCATGGAAAAACCCTAATAAATGGAGGTTTATAGCTGGGAACATCTATTTCTATGGGCCACCTATACCATGGTTATGTTAAATAACCAGAGGGTATTTGTAAATATTAATGGTTAATTATAATGACCTCACCGGGAATGATCGTTGATATTTTGGGAATCCTCAAATGGCCGTATTTCAGCTACTTTCAGGCTAGTTAATTCTTATCGCGGTTATAATCCAGCCATAGAGGTATATGTATACTGTATAATTTTAGCGGGCTATTTTTGTGTCAACCAGCACTAGGGATAATAAAAGGATGGGTACTTGTAGTTCAAAATGGCTAGCTGAAAGGTGCCAACTTAAATGGAAACACAACAGATAACAATTGACATAAACGGGTGATTTTTTTCCATTGCCATGTCAAATTACCGGAGGGTAACCCTCTGGTACAGCCAGGGTATATCCGTGCAGATCCCATTTACACCTGGGTTCTATCATCCATATGATTCATTTATGTTTGCCATAACTGGCTCATATTATCTGGTTGGTGGTGACTGGAACATGAATTTTATGATTTTCCAGAAACAGTTGGGAATGGAATAATCATCCCAACTGACGAACTCATATTTTTCAAAGGGGTTGAAACCACCAACCAGTTATATAATTTGATGTGATCCCATGAAAAATGCCAATGAAATGCATTTTCGACATTCCACTTTCATGGCACTTCAAAAATATGCAGCCCTTCCACGATTCAGGCGCGGAGCAACGTCAGGGTTGCACCGAACATGTTTTAATATGTTTTATTTGTTTATCATTTGCAGACTTCACATGAAATCATGGAATGAACTAACACCAACTGGCACCAACATCAACCAACTACAGCAACCTCCAAACACATAGACAAGCTGGAATGGAAATGATGGAGGAAACATCACCGAACTCCCATCCTAGAAGCACTTTACCATCAGCCATCTTGAAATCCTCTGGCTCTCAGGGGCGGCCACGGAAGTCCTTGAGCACCTGGGGCATGGAGGTATTGATGAAGACAAGAGTCTTTGGGCTCAGATCGTCACTCATCTGCAAGCTGGGCAAGCTGGTTTAGGCCCAAAAAAAAGTTGCTTTAGAGATGCCATGTTGGGTGGGGGAAGTGAGGGATTTGGGAGGTAGACAGTACCCCAGTCTTCGGCCAGTCTTCGGACAAATTCAAGTCAAAATGTTTTGAGGATGCATAAATTACCTGGATTTCCACCATACTTGTAGAGTTGATTCAACCTGCCAAGTCTTTCCACAGAAATTCATGTGTATCCTTATTTGACCGGAACATTTATTCAACTACTGCGGATGGTTGCGAAATCCTTCACCAGTTGATAGGTGATCTATCCCACTATCCCGTTATTTATAGGGTTTGATGGTTACAGTTGGTCACCAACTGGCGCAGGACTTCGCAACCATCCACAGTATTATATATTAAAACATATACCATATTTGCTACAATCACTATAAATCACTATCATCATATCCCCTGGCGGAGCGGTTGTTTTTTCACTCGCCCTTAGCTGAACTCTTCCAGAAGGCGATGGAGAGACAGAGAGAGAGATCCACCAAGCATCATAATGAAATATCATCAACCATAATCAATGATAATGAACCATGGTATGTCCTCAAAAAAATCCAAAAAAACTTCGATAGCAACCAGCCTCCATGGTGGTGACCCTGAGGTGAGCATCGAGGCCGTGAATGACTGGCAAGCGCAGGCCTTCGTGGCTGGCCTCCAGGGACACGCTGCGGAGGCAACGGCCACGGCAGCCACGGTGCCCGGGTAAACCTCCAGACATGGTGAACATCAAAAAGTGCAAAAATAGTCCCTATATACCATGTTTGCTTGGTGGTTTGGATCATTTTTATTTCCATATATATATATATATATTGGGAACAATCATCCCAACTGACTAATATTTTTCAGAGGGGTTGAAACCTTATACCATGTTCTGGGTGCGAAAATCAACGGGGGTTCTGAGCAGTTGGGCATGGTTTTTTCACCATCCAAGTGGCTTTGACCTCCAGAAACAACTTGGGATGAACGAAACGCGCAAAAAGGGGACACTTGAGAAACATGATGAGATAGAAGCGGGCATAACTGGTGACCATCATAGACATGACCAGAATGTTTGGCCCGATGGGTGCCCTGAAATTTGGCGATGGTACGCTAGCTATCCATTGAAAACGACACCTTTTTACACACATGTGCCTTTCTTATCCTTTCTTGCGATCAGATCCTTTAGAATTTTGTCAGGGTCCCACTCTTTACCATGCGCATTAACACAAGTTGTTGTGTTTTGACGTGGACACCTTGGTGCTTTGGCGTGATTCCTGACTCGTCCACCAGTCCACCAGGGCAAGGCAAAGATTGAAAAGGCCATTGCTGGTGTGCGGAAGGAGAAACTGTGCAACCTGCGGCGCTCAGGGCAAGGGCATCCCGTTGAAAAATATATGAGACATGAGAGGTTCAATATGGTGCGATAAAAGAATCATCTACACATCAGAGATTTTCTGCTGAGATGGCTGCCAAAAAGATCCCCTGCTGTTGGGAGAAGTCCAAATATGTTTGGCCCAAACACGGGGCACAGATGATCACAAATGGGCCCGCAAATTTTGGGGTAAGACGATTTTCGAGCCATACCTTCGTGAGACCTGCCAGCTTCCAACCGGTCACTTGGAAATTGTGGATGACTTTGCTTCAGGAAGTTGGCGCTTTCCAATATCCATGTTGGATCACCAGAAGGCACATATCATATATTCATATTAGACATTCTGCAAGGTGGGGCTCCCCAGTGATACATAAGTTGGTTTTCACACCCATTAAGTACTGTGACTACAGTTATATCCCCCATAAGCCCTAGCTAACCAATTTATGTGCGTCAACTTAGCTAGGTATTTCTGGTGCTTTCGGCCCAGGAGCAAGAGGAACAAGAGCGCTGGCTGCCGGGGTACCTGGGGGAACCTGGGGGTACCTGGCAATCTGCATTTCTCGAGAGCCTGGACGTCGGGTGAGTCTGTTTGGCAGTGGAAAATCCCATCGTTCAATGGTGGTTGTAATGAGAAAATCATCTATAAATGGTGGAACAACGGAGGGACTTCACGATGTTTTCCAGAAAAACTTACCAGTACGTGATAAGTCTAAATCCCCTTCAGATTGAAACACCCGCGAAGAAGCACTGGTATATTTTCGGGGATTCAACCGCATATCTGGGACCATTTGGGGGATGTTTATTAGGGGAATGGGGTAAAAACTGTGACATCAACTGTCACGTGTTGTACTCACTTGCTGTTCTCAAAAGGCATGTTTGAAAAACCCCGTGATGCAGCGTCAGGCACCCCACCTGTTTTCACACCCAACCGTTGGACCTTTACCTTGTTCCTGATGCCAACCGGTCTTGGCAGTCACCCCTTTCCGATTGAACATCCACGGAACATCCAAGTACAGTGATTTGAATCCAAAGATAGATGATGACAGCTGACATGCGCACGTATATATCAATGATCTTCCACCATGAAAACTGTAGATTCTTGTTCACAACTTCGTTATACATGTCCTGCACTTCAAAGAGACCTAGATTACTCTTAGATTGGCATTCCATATTCATCACAGGATGGGTGTTGCTGGAAGCGAAGCGCTCTGGGTTGTGATCGTGGGACTTTGCATTCTGGGCTCCGCACTCAGGGGCTCAGGGGCATGAGGCGTGATCTTGTGACCCGGGAAGAATCCTTTGGCAATCAAACATGGCAATAGAAGATCAACTATTTGTTTATTATCATTGTTTTAATCATTTATTTCGAATCATTTATAGATCATTTCCCCAATAAAAGCTCCATTTGGAGGGGATTTTCCAGTCAGTGTATCCATTGCAATTGGGCCAAGAACGTGACAAACAAGACTTCAATGCGATGTTCTTGTGGATGCTAGGGTCTACGTACATAAATCTTAGAGTCTACAAGTTCTTATTCCCTTCAGCAATTGGATATTCTGTTTGTGTCCAACATGCTGCCCTGCAGCGACGTATGAGTTCCTAGCACCCTGGAATCAAACGTGAGCCAATAATTTGCGTGGCATGATGGACCCATGATGGAGGATGGCAGTGCCCGCAGCGATTATAAGCCTTTACAGATTCCTGCAAGGCCTGACTCCTACAACAGCTTTGTCTAGGAAGATCCATCACGGATCCAACGCCTTGCCTTAAGGCCTGACTTATTGGAGTGGCAAGCGTTTAGTGAAGGCAGGGCATTCCCAAGAGGCTCTAAATGATTTCGCCAGATTGAGGCCCCCAAAATAGGGGTACCCCAAGACTTAGATTCAGATGGCTTGATGTTTTGGTCTTTATTGATGCATTTATGGTCAGGTTTCATGCTTCCACCGGGTTCGGATTCTCCATTGGCTCCTGATCTTTGCCAAAATCCAGTGATTGGCCAACTTGCAGACTGCGATAGCCACACGTTCACCCCTTACGGACGGAGGCCGCTGGTGCTGCTTTCTCCATGGTGACGGGCACAAGTTTGGGACTGAGCCAAAAAAACACCATGGATCGGTCTTCCAGGTGCTTAGAAGCTGGTGGACCTCCTCGAAGTATAGCCACAAGGCTTGACATGTTCCCCTAAAGTACATCAAAATACTACAAAATACTGGCATCTTTGAAACTTTACCAGTACCAATGTGGGAGAATATATGTCTTATATTGCCAGCATCATTTTGAAAAGGGTCATTGTATCAAGGTAGATGGGTTTCGACCCATAGAAGCTGAAACCAAACTCTGCTCAAACTTGAACCTGAGGCTCGGAGAACTGTGATAGCCGCCTGCGTCTCAGTGGGCACCGGGCTCTGGATATGTATAGATCTAGATCTTAGGCTTGGTTCAAGATATTTTTGGAGGAACCCCCTACAATACACTCGGAAATTATGTAAAATGGTGATAAATTTAAGGCTTGACATATATACATTTGTTTCCTCCCGGAGCCCTCTACAATACACTCGGCGGGAAGATTCAGTAACGTTGGATATGGTGTATAAATATAAATATATAGACATACATAACTGGTTGGTGGTTTCAAACATTTTTTATTTTCCATAATATATAGGATAATCCTTCCCATTGACTAATATTTTTCAGGATGGTTAAAACCACCAACAAGATAAAGCCAGGATGCAGAAAGACTCTCCCTACCCCACATAGTTTGAACATGTCATCATCACCCCTCGAGAACCCTGGTGAAATATGAGGAGTCCACAGCATCAATTGACCGTGGGTGGATACTTCTGACTCCACGTTTTGCTTGTCCAAACATGGGTGGATGCCCCAAAATCGTCATTTCAGCATCTGTTCTGCATTCTAATGGAAAATGCGCAGCCGAATTTCTCCCCAAATTTGGATCGATGATGAAAAATAATGATGAATGATGGTTTGTTTCATGGTTTGTTTCATGACATTTTCATGACTATAGGACCTATAAGTTTGACCATCTGTTCCCATCATCCTACGCCAGGTGCCGTGCAGAAATTCTGCTGCGCTCCCACGGACGAGGAGGCGCTCTACAGTGCGGGGAGCCTCAGCCTGGCACGCGGCGCTGTTGGCCAATGGCGGTTTCAAAGGTGGGTCCTTGATGTTGGCTTAACATACGTGGCTTATCATGGCTTAATATGGCTTAATATGTGATATGTGATATGTGATAACATGTTTAACTCAACTATTTGATGGCTTGATAATTTAAAAAAAATGATGGCTTATGTTTAACTCAACTATTATATAGTGATATGTGATGATGATCCCAGGTCGCTTGGAGCTGGGTTGCCACGGGAAGTTTGACACAGATTTCTGGCACTTCCCTTTTTTTGATGCTGCGGTATTGACTATGCAAGCTGGCAATGACAGATCAAAATCCTTCAAAGTCCATCTTGTGTAAATAATATTCATATCAGAGATGTGGTCACCACAATGTCACCACTTTAAGTCCACGGAGGCCTTAAACCCGCCACAGAACGACTTGGACGATGATGAGGAACCCATCAGGTGGAACATCGCTGATTCAATGGCCTGGGGACCACTTGTTTTTTGAGATTGACTGTCCCATCATGTCATATCATGATCCATCCATCTTAAAATGAGTCCAAAATATGTCAAAATGGCATGTCTGTTCTTTCATGATCGCACGTGCGATCTTGTAAGTTGATTCGTTGACGTTGCATCTTACAGTATTTTTTCGCTTGGAGTGTTGCAGTCTTACTGGTGCTTAGGGAATGGATGGGACTGGGGGTTGCTGGGATGATTATTACTAGTGATTATGGATCATTCCCTCATTCCCTGCGTTTAGCACCAGTAAGTTGCAGTGCATTTGTGTATTTGTTGCAGTGCAAGTCTGACGATATGATACGATATTGCCAGGCATAACGTCGCAGCGCATGCTGCATGGTTCGATGGAGAGGCATTGGAGACTCGGGTGATATCACGTGCTTTCAAGGTGTTTGGATCATGTTTTTTCGGTTTGTATCTTACAGTGACTAACCTGCAAAATTATCATGAACTGTTTCGTGGGGTATCATGAAGTCAGCAGTCCATGGTTCCCAAAGCCTTCATGGTTATGCTATCCTGCATAGGCACATCAGACTGTCAGATGGATTACCCCCATGATCCCAAAGTCACTATTGGCCCATGGTCGCTTGAATCCTTCGCCCCAGGAACCCGGGAATACCCGGGGGGGGGGGGCAGGGCGTCACCGAAAATCCGCCAGGATCGCTTTGCTGCCCCTGCCAAGTCTCTTGACCCATTTCGACGCTGAGTCAGAATCGCTGAGAGCTACGAAAGAGAAACTGCAAGAATTTGGCGGGAAATCACTGATTTTGATGATTTTGTTTTTTGCCATTTTGGTTACACATATAGTAGTCTCGGGGGCGTATTGAAGATGGGCCATGTTGAAACTGCAACTCTTTACATCTAGTTTTGAAGGTGTTGATTTCACCTTCTACGGTACATTGTAAAAAATCAAACATATATTCAAAGATGGCAATGTAAAAATCCTGATTTTTGGTTGGTTAGTTTCTTTCCTGTTGGTTTGTTGGAAGGCATTTGGCACCTGAGTCTGAGGTTGGTGGTGATTCTGGAGCGCGCAGCGTTGGAAAGAAGTCGTTGGGCGCTCAGCGGTTGCACTTAAATAAATTGAACCAGTTGAATCCATTTTATATATTCTTATATAATCTTATATAACATATAGATAGATTATTTTAGATTAGGTCTTTGGTTTGGAATGATTCTTCGAACCCTATTTGTTGTGTCCCCAAGGTGAGCTCGTGGGAACTCACGTGTCTCGGCACAGACTCCTGAAGAGGAACTGGGACTTGAAATAGAAACTTATTTTATAGATAACTGATATGTATATACTATTATATATATTTATATTTATATAACATTATATAACCAATAATAAAACCTATAAAAATAGAAGTGGACGTTTTTTTTTTTCACGTTCATTGATGGTCAAACCTAGGGTACTTCATCAGCCACGTCATGCCGTTCGATCCAAACAACTTGGTGGATCCATGACCCGATGGATTATTCATGCTTTGACGTGTTCTTCCATTGAAAAAAAATGTCCAGGATGTTTCACGGATATGGGGATGGGTCAAAACCTATTAGTAGCCTATTAGTATCAATTTTAATGGGATGAACATCCATTTACCAGCTGTTTTGTGGTTCACTAGGTACCAGGGTTATGACCCATATCCATATGATTTCAAGCGAAGCTCCTCTGATTATTTAACAGTTCGCAAAGTTGACAATTGTCCATTTATTTTCGATGGTTTGTCTATTGAAGACGGTGATTTTCTACAGCTATGCAACAAATTACCAGAGGGTAAATCCCATATAATCCCATAATATCCCATTGTACTTGCTGGTTCATCCCACTTACAAAGTAGGTTAGTTCACCCTAGTTACAAGTGGGTTAACCCTACTTACATTATATTCCACTTATATTAAAGATATTAAGCCTACTCAGTAAGTGAGATGAGCCACCAAGTAATTCTCTAAATCCCCATTGTTCTTGGTAAAACCCCACATCTTTCCAGCTCGCAAAGTCTCCAGCATGACCAGAGGCAAAAGCGCCGCGACCAGACCATGAGTTGCAATTTACCTTTGATGCTCTTGCCACTCAGCCGCCTGTGGGCCCAAACCTCCCGGAAGTATACACGTATACATATATATATATATATACATGTATGAATAGATATAAATATAAAATTAAGTATTAGATTATGTAATTATGTATAACAGTGTATTTTGTATGTATATATGCTATATATATACATACATATTACATGCTTGCGTTTGTCCTGATTGCCACAGCCATGTTGCATGCCACTTGCAGAGTCCAGTGCTCCAGGGCTTGCAGTACGAATCTGTTACCCGAGTGTACCTTTGTTGATCCCTTGTGTCCCGTGTCCACAAAACCCTAAAAAACTGCGATTCCCAGCCAGCCAATGTACATTGCCAGAGAGAAAACACGTGGATTCTCCTTGATCTCGGACATGAAGGGAAACACAGAAAGGACACCAGCGTATTGGATGAGAAACTACCTATTTTCCCACGATTTTCCCGAAAAAAAATAAATTGAACACCTGATGATGCAATCCCAAACTTAAATTGACTTGGTGCCGCAACAAGGTGAGACCCCCTGGTTTGCGGTTCAGTGCACATCACTTGCTTAACATATGAGTTGATTAGGGGCATATCTTATACTGGTTGGTGGTTTGGAACATGTTGTTTTTTTCGTCCCAATAGTTGGGATGATGATCCAATCTGACTAATAATTTTCATGGGGGTTGAAACCACCAACCAGCTATAGTTAATGGATGTTGAGCCTATAACCAACTTATCTCTGGGGGGGCCTCAGGAGACTCTGCTGGATAGCCAGTTGAACGAGGCCAGTGTGACCCAATGTTGGGGAAAGCTTCAATGTATAACGCGGTAATCCGAATAAATCCAATAGAGGTTATGGGGTATACCCCTGTTCGCAATGGGGTGATTGAAAAGGACCCCGAGTCATGGATGCTTAATGGGATGATTTATGGCGTTCACCACAGTAGTTTGATACTTTGGGAATGTACCCTCTGGTAAACAAACATAGCTATTGAAAATGGCCATTTATAGTGGATTTACCCATCAAAAACAGTGATTTTTCATAGTTATGTTAGTCTACCAGAGGGTAAATGATAATATTCACTCACCAGCTGTATTTTTTTCGTATCTCAGATTGGCAATCAGGAAATCTGAGGAAAGTCCAAGCAACTTTGTAGTCAAAATGTGCACACAACTATATCCCACGTTTGAATATTTTTTTTAAATGTACCACAAACACATTTGATCAAGCAGTCATCCCTCAACATTCCCCAGTCGTCCACCGCTTGAGTGGCTATGGACCTTCAAATTTGAATGAACTGGAGTTTTAACCAAAGTGAATGCAGCTTTGCAAAGGTCACTCTTTGATTTCAAAAAAGGTTTGACCCATCTGTAAAAACTTCAAATTGGAGTGGTATCCTTCAAGATTCAATGAGATGTGTCAACCTTAACCATTAACCTTGATGAAACCTTTATAAAGTTTGATCAACCCTTTATAAGGTTCATACACTTTGATTAACCCACTTTGATTAACCCTTCATTCCTTTCTTTTTTGTGTCAACCTTAACCATTCATCATTGGATGGATCTTACGTTCACGTCTCGTTCCATGTCACGTCTCGCGAGGCGGGGCGACTCATCATCTACCTCCACTCAGCAGAGGAAGTTATCGTGGAGGTGTGGATAGATCCAGCAGTGACAAGACCTGAGCAGTGGCTGTTAATGGAAAAGTACTGCTGGTTAGAATCTTAACTAATGGTTGGTTAATAATGGTTAATAACGGGTAATCATGGTTAATAAGTGTTAATAATGGTTAATCATGGTTAATAATTGTTAATAATGGTTAATAATGGTTAACAATGGTTAATCATGGGCTATAACATCAACTATATAACCATTGTAACTGCTTAATCAAGTTTCCGTCGCTAATTATTGTTGTTTATAATTGTTAATTCATTGTTAAAAGTGCTAGTTAATTGTTAATTATCATGGGGGAAATCATGGTTAATGGTTAATTATTGTTGGTTATAATGGTCAATTAATGGTCAATCAATGGTGAATCATGGAAGTATATAGCCAACAATATATAGTGGACGATTAATGGACAATTGATGGATCAATATTATAATATGGAAAACCCAAGAATAAACCTACCATTTGGGGATGGTTGAAATTCCACCCATAACATTGGTGATTTTGGGGATGGTTTATGAAATGTGGGTTTACCACAGTAGAGGTTTTAACCATCACAATATGGGATATAAGTGGATACTGTATAACTGATACAAAATGTTGGTTGGTTGATGATTATTGTGGTTAGTTGCTATTTAAGCATGCATCATATTTTTGGGGATATCATTGATCAAACATGCTTTGTTGATGTTTGGTTCGTTGATACTAACCTTCATGTTTACTAAGGATTCTCAGCAGCAACTCTGGGAATCCCGTTCGAACAACCAAGCAGTTTTTCAAGGGACGAGAGAACTTGGGTTTTGAACACTGCTGAAATGTGCGAAGAAAAACAAAATCCTGGAATTTGATCATGACCTCACCTCGTGACTTCACTGGAATGATGATTGGGATTGGAGTCATTCCCTAATGGAATTATGATAACAGCAATCTTCAGGTCAGTGAATTACAGGAATTTACCCAACGGCAGATATATGATGATATATGTGTGCTTGATGACCTATTAAAAAATATAGATAGAATGATTTGGAGTTGTCTTCCAATATATATATATATATACACCCTCTGGTAAACAAACATAGCTATTGAAAATGGTGATGTATAGTGGATTTTCCCGTTAAAAATGGTGATTTCCCATGGTTATGTTAGTTTACCAGAGGGTATATATATATATATATAAATATGAGATTCGCATATTTTCGCAACGACAGAGATTCTCGGGTCCAAACTTTTGGATGAGGCTGGGTGACCAGCCACGAGATAAAACACACAACTTGATGATGGCACATTGGATGCAATTGGATTAAGTTGGCATATATATATATATGGGTCACAAGAAATTATATAACGTTATATGGCGTCTATATGGTTACTTATAATGTGGTTACAACATGTTACAAAACATATTGAATATCTTGGTGCTGTCACGGCTAACCCTGAAGGTCCACCCTGGATTCTGCATGCCGTCCTCGTTGCAGCGCTTTGCTAAGATCGTCCGGAGAACCTGGTTCGCGGGTGATCCTGGGATGGCTCACTGGTTCGAGTTTTTTTGCCTAAGACCTATGGAAATATGATGAAATATGGAGGTTTCCTAAAATACTGGTACCCCCAAATCATCCCAAATCATCCATTTTTCTTTCGGATGTTCCATTGTAAATCATCCAAAATAGGGACACCTATTTAATAGGAAACCTCCATCTGATGAAATATGTACAGTATTTGCAGAACTTTGCAGTTCAATGATGTTCTTGTGTTTGGGGTCGTCAAGACCCTGGTAGCCGGTTTTTGGACCAAACACACCAAAATAAGTTGTATTTGGTGTCTTGAAGGTGTTTACCCTTCCACATAACATCCCGCATTCCCATTATCATCCTACTGATATGGAAATACGTTCCCCAATTTGTGGAATTCAATGTTTGCATATATATATATAGATAAGATCATTGTTTGTTGCCGGTAAAATGCATATTGTCGGTGAACATCTCCAAATTCTCGGCTGTTTGTTTTTGCTGGCAAACTGTCAAGGTATGTTGGTAAAATCACCAAGTTTCCCATGTATCATCACCATTAAATCACCATTACATCCCATTCAATCACCATTAACTCCTAATATGAAATCTGAGTTAAATCCCATTGAATTTCACTAAATCTCTATGAAATCCCATTAAATCCCAATTAATCATCCCATTAAATCACCATATTCTCCATATGCTGCGCCTCCCAGATGCTGTCGCTTCTCCGGAGAAGACGCTTCACGGGGTCCACCCCAGAGGACTATGTGAAGCCATGAGTTGACGGGGATTTAGCGAACACAAAAATGGAGGTTTCAAGGGATATTGAACGGTAATCCCCATGACGGATCCATGGTGCTGCTATACATGGTAACATTTATATCCCATCAATATACCCCCTTTATGTTAGCATATATACCAGCACCATGGATCCTATGGGTAATCAAAAAGAATTGCGAACACACCTTTCAATTTCGTCATCAAACATGGCGAAATTTTTCCAAAAAAAAATAGCATTTGAATGTTCAGAATCATGTTTGCGAAAGCGGTAATTCGCCATTACCATGTTTGATCTCCAAAGGGAAACTGGTGGTTCAGCTCGGTTTGTCTAGGATGCCCCAGTGAAGTCCAATGAATGGGATGATCAATACAAAACTATCAACACAATTCCCAAGCATCAAAGCCTAACTCACCAGTTAACTATTGGGTTCTTTCATGCCACCAAAAATGAGGAGATAGAAAAATGAACGTTGAGGATTGATGGTTGCATTGTTTGTTCGTGCTTTTTTTTGGGCTGCAATCGGACTGGGAGATTGCAGTCCATGGGCACAAGCAAATTCCAATGCCATCCCAACCATCCCGGAGGCTTCCCAACAGTTGGTTTCCCGGGGTTCTTTCGAATCGTTGGTTTTTCGTTTGTTCAATGCTGGTGATGAAGCACCGGTGGTAAACCAAAAACCATTGGTTTGGTTCATGAATGCCACCATTGGTTTCTATGTCATCCCCAAGAAAGCGAGGTTTTTCACCGGAAACCATGTTGATAAGACAGAGAGAACCATTCATTGGTGGTTGAAGATGCTTCTTTCAACCACTAAGACTCTTCCTGGCAGAGACCACCAAAGGGATATCATCAAGTTACCATTCCATAGAATATGTCTGAAAGATACCTTTTTTGTCTGTAACAGTAAGACTCAGAAACTATTTCATTACTATTTCCATGTGATTTATAACCATTAATAACAATTAATAACCATTGATAGCATTTGATAATACTTAATGATTCATGCTGATTCATGGTTACTAATGGTTGTCTTACTATTTCCATAGCGATATCGATATCATCGTTCGCGTGGCAAGCTTGGAAATCCCCACGAAATTCGATGGCAGCTATATATGGTATTATAGGTAACATATGGTAACATTTACCATCAATATATCCCCAATGTTAGCATATATACCATACATGGATCCTATGGGGAACTGGAAAAAATCATTGCTGAATGGTTGGTATTTTCCAGCCAGCCATGGGGCCATGGTTGAGGACACCGGATGGTAATTCCATGAAAATAGCCATTGATATGGTTTGATTAATATACATTCTAAAAAACAATGACAACCACCATAAAATAAAAAAAAAACAAACGTTAATTATAACCATAAATCACCATTAGTATATCCATTAATAACCATTTTAATAACATTTGATAACCATTAGTAACCATGAATCAGCATGAATCATTAACCATTATCAAATGCTATCAATGATTATTAATTGTTATTAATGGTTTTTAATGGTTATAAATAACATTGGTTATTTAATCATTTGATAACCCGGGAAATGAATCATGAACCATTATCTGGGTAAATTATAACGACCTCACTGCGACCTCACTGGAAATCATAGTTAGTAAGGGAAATTATCCCCAAATGGCCTTAATTCAGGTTAGTGAAATATTATAATTTACCCAGCATTATGAACCACCAATGAACTTCACCGGCTTCGCATCAGGCTCCCGCGGTCTTGCGCGTTGTGGATGGACCCTGGGACCAACTGATTCCGACGCTTGGCGTTGATTCGTTTTTTTTTCGTTGATGGCAACGGTGCGTTTTTCCACGGAAAGTGACCTTTTGTGTTGGGGGATTGTTTCCCATAGGATCCATGGTGCTGGTATAGATGCTAACATAAAGGGGGTATATTGATGGGATCCATGTTACCATAGATAGCAGCACCATGGATCCTATGGGTTTGGGGAGGTTGAATTTGCTGGACTTCTTCGGGAGTTTGTGTCCTTGGATTCTCTCGATTCTCCTTGAAGTTTGATCCACATTACGGCATCGTTCAAGGTTTTCGATGACAGGTGATTGCAGACCACGACGAGCATAGGCTCACAAAATCTAAGAAGCACGGTCAGGTTAGGTCATGAAATATGCATACGTTTTTCACTACAAGCTTTATTGCAGGAGCCAATGATTATATATGATGTATATTTGCAGATTTTTACATGGTGGTTGATAGACAGAGGAATTTCATCTAATGTCCAATATAGGGAGTCTTACCATAACACATATTCCATAGTTGGAGCTCTCACAGAACAGGCCGCCTTTGCTGCCTCTTGTCAAATCAGGATTGCTGATGACAGGCACAGGATGAAGCATTTTTTTGGGTAATTCTTCAATGTTGGACCTATCTTCATATCTGTGTTTATTGTTTCTCTTGGCGATATGGTTTGATACCAACATTTTGCCTTGAACAAACAGATGCAAAAGGACAAACCGAAAAAAACATGAACAAATCTTGCAACTATTGATATCAAATTTAGCGCTACAGCCAATAACTAGTATTTCCATATAGTCTGGGATACAGGTCGTACCAAATTCCAATCGACTCCAAGAAACCCAGGAAGGGCACTGCTTGGTATGCGCTCTCACCACAAGGCTTGGCGGCAGCGCTGGGTGCCAATGTTGCTGATGTGCAAAGCGTTTTTGAATATGGTTGTTTTGACATGGGAATTGACGCATGAGGCTGATCAAAACCAATCGTGGTTTTCACCATCAAAAACGGTCGAATTCTTCAAGGTGTGGGGTTCAACCAGTTAGCCATAGGATCCATGTATGCTATATCTATATATGGTAACATGGATCCCATCAATATACCCCTTTTATGTTAGCATATATACCAGCACCATGGATCCGTCATGGGTTAGCATTCAGAATGCTTCACCAACGATGGCAGGTGAAAGCATCCATCTGAAGGACTGGGATTGGCTCTCCACAAGTGGAGCTTGAACCTTTGTACTACCATCTGGTTATGACTAACATAGCGAACTGGAAAATCCCCAAACAAATGGAGGTTTAGTTCGCTTGTAAAATCATCTATAGGCCATTTTTAATAGCTATGTTAGTTTACCAGAGGGTAGATTGTTCAGAATCTTTCTGCAGATTCTCATAGAAAATCCTATCAGATAAACTATAGATAAACTATATATACATGTTTTTCAGATTCAGCCGCTATAAATTTTGCCAAGCAACGCCCTGTCCAACTGCCTTTGAGATTTTTGTTGTTCTTACCCAGGAGTTCGTTCGAGACGTCGCCGGATCGACAGGCCAAATATTGGATGACGACTGGATGATTTAGGGTAGCCTCTGATAATTTAACATATGGGTATGGATCAATACCTATACATACCATTTTTAATGGGATGAACATCCATAAATCCCAGCTATTTTGATGTGAACAGAAGGGGTACAAGGTTTTGACACACTGCCATATAGCTATGGAAGCCATGGCCCAGTTTTAGTTGATTTACCTGTATTAAAAGTTGTGATTTTCAATAGTTATGCTAGTTTACCAGAGGGTAACTACCTTCTGCGACTTCGGACACCTCTAAAAAATTGGACCAATGGATGGATGAATTTCGGTGCTAAGTCAAGCTGCTTTCCTGGCCTTATTAGCTGCGTCAGGGCTTTGGAACTTGTTACTTGAAATGCCCTGAAAATTGAATTGAAACAAACAAACTAAGCCTGAATAATAAACAACACTGGCCTGCCCCAGTGATACAAAAGATCGGTGCCTAGCCCTGGTTGCTGGATGTTGCTGGTGTTTTGTCATTCGTTGTTCACCAAGACTGGTTGATGGTGTTGCATGGTTTGATTTTCCTTATCACCTTAAATCTTTCATCCCATGTGTATCCATTTTGTATCCATTTATGATCATTTATGAACATTTATGATCATTTATGATCATTTATGATCATTTATGGATCAGTGATTGTTGGTGGATGTTTGTTGGCATATTGGTGGCGCAACGGTCAGCGGATTGTTGACTAGCTTCGATTTGATGTTCCGATGATATCACTGATGATATCACAAAAATAACCTCCTGGGTCCGTCCAAAAATGGCTTCGTCCAAGGGGGTACCCCTAAAGAGTGTTGTTTCAAAGCTCATGGTTCCCATTGGACACTTGCCTTTGTTGGGCATACGGAAAGAGATGGAAAGAACATGTACCGCCGTATAGCCACTGTCAATGTTCATGCTTATATCGGAATGCTATTTCTAACTGCATTTTGACAGATATATATGTAATGATATGTGCTAATAATGTGGATTATAATACATAACAAACAGAAACATGTCCCAATTATATCCATTATGATGACACGCAATTATTATCTATATATCTTACTTGGTGGCTCATCCCACTTAGTAAGTATAGGTTATAACATGTTGTAATCCTAGTGATAAGTGGATCAACCCTACTTATCCCGCTTCTAATAACCAGGGATATAACTTCCTTCGGATTCGTGTGATGAGCCACCAAGTATCCATTACCCATAGGATCCATGTATGCTATATATGGTAACATTTACCATCAATATACCCCCAATGTTAGCATATATAGCATACATGGATCCTATGGGTTACAATGTCTCCATTTGATCAATTGGTGCAAACTGATCTCCACAGTCAGAGATTCGCACCTCGCGCAGGCTTCGGCTGCTTGCCCCCCAGCAGGTCCTCTGAGCGCGTCCCCGGGCGTGGCTCGGGGCGCGACTCAGGCGACGAGGACGTGGGGCACATCGTGTTTTCCATCGGAGCATCGGCCGGGGACGCCACCAAGGACCACCGGTGGGAGGAGTCCATGGCAACCAGGTCATGACATCGGGGGTTCCGTTGTGTTATGGGGTACCCCCATCCGAGCCATGACCATGACTTTGTAAACCCATCGTTTTAAGGTGTAGCCTCATTAAAAATAGAAAACCATTTTGGTGGCAGGTGAAGTTGGTTGAGACTCATATAATATCAAGAGTTTGTGGGTTGGGCAGTTGTAATGCAGCAGCTGTTGTTGATGTGTTATAAAAAAAGGAGTTGGATGATGGTTCAGGATGGCGGTGTTTTATGGTGTTGTGATGTGTGTAGGACAAATGGCTAGCGTTGACGGCGTTGGCAGCCTTTCTGGATTTATACCCAGATGGATAAAGTGTCTCAAAATCTGGGATTCTCCCACGTACGGTTTACCCTCTGGTAAACTAACATAGCTATTGAAAGTGGTCATAGAAATAGTGGATTTTCCCATTAAAAATGGTGATTTTCTATAGCTATGTTAGTCATTACCAGAGGGTACCTGCGCAGTCTTCTGGTCCAAAATTGCTTGTGGTAGGACGCCACGTTCCGTGGGAACTCTTTGCAGAGGCTCCTTTTTTTTGGGGGGGGGCAGGGCGGTGCCAAAAATCAGCGGAAGGCATCTTCAAACAAACCAAGCAACCGAATCAAACGTGATGTGGCAGTGTGTCAAAACCTTGTACCCCTTCTGTTCACATCAAAATAGCTGGGATTTATGGATGGTCATTCCCCTAAAAATGGTATGTATAGGTATTGATCCATACCCATGTCTGCAGCATGCATATAATATGTACCATCTGGTTATGACTAACAGTTTGCCATGGAAAGATCCACCATGGTATTAAGAACGGTAAACCATCTATTTCTATGGGCCATGGCTTCCATGGCTATGTTAGTCATAACCAGATGGTAACAATTTGCTTCACGGAAACGTGATAGTCCCATGGTGTCCGACTTTGCAGTGGTCTCTTGCCGGATCCCTGTGATGTGCCATGAGCCATGGCTGATTTGAATCTGGTGATCTTTTTGCATTGCTATTCTTCCTGCTTATATCATATGCAAAATGGATGGGTCTGAAATGAAGATGGGGATATAGCCAAAGTCAAAGGACTCATTTTACCCCCTGTTTGTAGAGATAGAGTTCACCCAGGAGTAATCCATGAGTCATTGGGATTTTCTGTGTAAGCTATCATACTGGTAACTTCGGAAACTTAATATGGTTATATCATATGATATATACATAATATATATATATATATATACACATTTTCATCACATACATAGTGTATATAGAGTATATATATATAATGTATATATAGTAGTGTTTTTACATGTAGAGACACTGTAACCACCCCCAAAAAAAAAAGGAACTAAAAGGCTTAAACTCCATCTAAATGTATGTGATTGTCCATTACAAATGATATCAAATGATGTTCCATCTCTATCATTTTATGGCAGAGTGATTTTCCATCTCTATCATTTTATCTTGCTTGTGCTAAACGTAGGCAATGAGGGAATGATCCACTGGCTAACTATCAATAATAATCCCAGCAACCCCCAGCAACCCATCCATTCCCTACGTTTAGCACCAGTCAGTTTTTTTTTCCATCATGCAGATCATCATCATATATGCATATAAGATTTGATATAATACATAAAATAATCTGCATATTAATTTATGTGTTTTTTTCATTTGCATATAATCAATTTTTGGATTCATATTTATTTTTTTGTTTTCATCTGTATACAATATCATACCCATGACGGATCCATGGTGCTGGTATATTAATGCTAACATTGATTGGGGGTATATTGATGGGATCCATGGCACACCATATATAGCAGCACCGTTAGGATCCGTCATGGGATATCGATCATGAATGGAGAAGCCTCCGGTTTCATCATTGCCATGGTTTTTCTAGAAAGTCCACCATTTAGTTCGATGATTTTTCATCTGTATATAATATATTATAATATCATATAATATTAAATGTAGTTATATGCATATAATATATAACATATGTTATATAATATGCATATAATCATTTTTCATCTGTATATATGGATGATTTGTTGGAAAATCCCATAGCCATAATCAATTATGTTGGGATTTTCCAACAAATGATCCATCTGCCAGGCTCTCCATTTGCCCCTGGGATCTAACCGGTGCGGCTTGCTGCCGGATGCTGTGCCCCTTGACCTGGAAATGGCACAAAAATAGGCAGTTGATACCCATAGGATCCATGGTGCTGCTATAGATGGTGTGCCATGGATCCCATCAATATACCCCCAATCAATGTTAGCATTAATATAGCAGCACCATGGATCCGTCATGGGATATGATTCTCACATGTTTTTCAGCCAGCGAAAAGGAGTTTTAAGGTGATTGAGTCAACAAGTTCGAATTTAGACAGTTCGAATGATGTATTTTCACCGGGAACTCCTTGGAATTTTGTGTGAATTTCAGGTGGTGAAGATTCCTACTGTAGCCATGGAGTCGAGTTGACTGGGTCCATACTTGCTGAGATAAAAAAAGGAAAATTGATGAGCCCATGACCCCAAAGAAGTGGAAAGATGGCCGACGCACACGTGTAGAAACCACGTGATTGTGAATTGTCAAGATTGGATGGATCTCTGTGAGACACCATGGCCATTCTACCCGATTAATGTTGCTACTTGTTATTTTACTGGGCCTTCCTGTATCTTCTTGTGAGGATTTCAGACTATCATAGCACTTTTTCATGTCCATTGGGTACCTTCTTTTCCACCCTCAGTCCTGAGTCCATCGCTGATTGACATGGCGATTTTGTCGTGTGAATATTTTAGAGAGCAGCATTGCAATTTAAGTTGATAGATGAACTTCTGCACAAATTGGTAAGCTGGTTGGTGGTTTCAAACAATTTTTATTTTCCATAATACATGGGATAATCCTTTCCATTGATGAACTCATATTTGTCAGAGGGATTGACACCACCAACCAGTATATATATATACATATAGGATTACCCTCTGGTAAATAAACATAGACCCTGAAAATGACCATCAATATATATATATATATATGATAGACCCTGATGGTTAAAACCACCAACCAGTAAGTGAGGATGGCACAAAATATTCACTGAATCCTAACCTTTCGGATCATCCATAGACACGAAAAGAAAGCCCTGGTTCTGAGGCAGTGAATTTGAGTCGCTCTGGAACGTGCATCGTTGTTAGCTGTAAAAATCATCCCTTGCCTAGCAAATGCCCGCTTTTTTGATTTGTGCATCTACTAGTGGGAAAGGAATGTACATGTCGTTTTTGTCGATAGTTTTTGGGAATGTTCGCGTGTGACATGTTAACACATGTCAGATTGTTTTTGTGAAATTTCCATTTTGGAATCTTCGGTTTACTGCTCACTGATTTGATTGTATCCCTATGATTGATGTTCATGTCCACATGGCAAGACACACACACACAGACATTCCCGGTCCATGCAACGCCTGGCCAACGTTGCCGAGCTGTTTCGACCACCATTTCTGTTGTAGCTAGGTGAAAAAGAATGGGCCGGGTTGGTGAAAGTTTTTCTTCACGTTGGTTGTCAATGGTGGGCCACAACAGTGATCCACAGCAAGTTTTTGCGAATGTTTGAACATGCTTGAACATTGTAGCCCAACCACACTTCGAGTAATGAGCCGTCCAATTCTTGAGGTTGCCAAATTAGTATATTTACATATTATATATATATATATATAATATATTGTACATATTATATTATATGTATGTAGATATATATATATATATACATATATATATATATTATACTATACACATAAGTTCGGACCTTCAACAGTGTAAGTGCCCACACTAAGTAGGATAACCCCCTGACTTTTTTTCGCAGCGGTGAAGTGTCCAGATTTTTTTCGCTCTCCAAAGGCTCCAGGGGTTCAAAATTCTCCGGGAGTGCCTTTTGGTCCTTGTGGTGCGCTTCTACTGATGTTCAATCTTGGAATTCCATGGAATTCCTGTATAGATGGAATTCTTCAGACAGAAACACATGTTAACATTATTGTTACTGTATAGATGCTACATTAGATAACATGAGCTATTTTCTGAAATCAAGCAGATCTTGCTTCACCATCAGTATATTCTGCCAGTACAAAGGTGCCCAAAAGGGTGCAAGTGGTTCTTTCAGAGCACTTGCCCAGCTCGAAAATATATGTGTAATGCTGCGCTAGCAATATATATATATATGTATAGCTCGTGAATAGATCAATAGATTCATAAATGAACACATAAATACTTCGTGATGCTCATGATGATATGATGATGATGATGATGATGATGACGATGACGATGACGATGACGATGATGATGATGATGATGATGACGATGACGATGACGATGATGATGATGATGATGATGATGATGATGATGATGATGATGATGAGGATGACGATGACGATGACGATGATGATGATGATGATGATGATGACGATGACGATGATGATGATGATGGTGATGATGATGACGATGACGATGATGATGATGATGATGATGATGATGATGATGATGATGATGACGATGACGATGATGATGATGATGATGATGATGATATCATATGGATAATCATCCTATCTATGCATGACTGAAACCACCAACCCTGAAAAGAAATCATAGTTGGACTCAATATAAAATCTTCACATCGATTCTGCCACTGTCTTTCTGACCGAAATCCCTTCTTTTTGGCCCACAGCATTTTGCCAACGCATTCGCTGCGAAAATCGGTTGGTTCTTCTCGTGTCAGGACAGCCTCGTCCTGGGTTTCTCCAGCCTGTAGGAGGATATGTTGCGAAGGTTCACCCCCTCGGTAATCAAACACAGCAATGCGAAATCCACTATAAAGGGAGGTTTACTTCGCTGGGAATATCATCAATGGTGGATTCTCCAGCTTTGCTGACACCGGTCCGGCTACTTCTCTGCCCATTTTCCTTCCAACTCTCGCCTTGCGTTTTCTCGGGTCAGGAACAACGATGGCTTTCGGAAAGCGACGTCAGAGTCGGGGTGCGCTGGCGTCGGGAATCCCAAAACGATGCCAGGATGCTGGTGGGCTGGTCACCTGCGCAGGTACATGGCAAGATGGTAGCGTGGTCCAAACTTGGCTGGTTGGTGGTTTGGAACATTTTTATTCGACTTTCCATTTTTTTTGGGAATGTCATCATTCCAACTGACGAACTCCATGATTTTTCAGAGGGGTAGGTATACCACCAACTAGTCTAAACTTGGATTAGAGACCCATAAAATGGGAGATAGTCATTGATCCATTGGGATCTACGTAGCCATTGTAAGATTTTGATTGGCCAGGACTCTCAATATTAGAATGACCATAAACCACATACCATGTTTCGACCCTAGCATTGATGATGACTATTTTGGTCACCCAAATAGGCACAGTCTTGGGGAGTGAAACAAGCGGCACTTTCCAAAGTATGACACTGTCTGTGTAGGTGCAAGCTGGTTGCAACTAATACCCATAGGATCCATGTCATATATGCTAACATTGATGGTATATTGATGGTATATTGATGGGATCCATGGCACACCATCTATAGCAGCACCATGGATCCTATGGGATATAGATCATGAATGGAGAACCCTCCGGTGTCATCATTGCCATGGTAGAAAGTCCACCATTTAGTTCGATGATTTTTCCGGCGAACTAAACAACTCCATTCAGATTTAGATCATGTAGCCCATTAATGCTCTAGCCATATGCTCTAAGTATGGAATATCAACATTTGGGCCATAAAATGGTGGTAAATGTTGGTAAATATTAATTCTATACATGGAGCATATGGGTAATATGGGATAGGGCACCCAATCATCCCCATGGCTGTCCTGGGAGCACCGAAAAAAAGGCCTTATTGTTGAGGGTGACATGGGGTGACTGGGGTGGGACAACAAAACTCTCATGTCTCAATGGATTGGCTTTCACGGGAAAATGTTCACCGGAAACCATAGATTTTCCCATTAAATATGGGGCTTTCCTGCAAATTTTCCCTTAAACCAATCCATTGAATGTCAGGCTGATTGCTGTGATTGCTGGAACATGGACAGCTTCGACCTTCGTTTTGGGTGCGCAGCCCAGTAGCGCAATGTTGGAGATGTGCAGGTGATAAAAAACAATTACTTTACTTCGTGTGATCCCCACCATGACATTTATACATTTTCTTACTGGCAAATCTTCTGGCATTCTATCTGACATATCTTCTGACATTCTATTTGACATTCTATCTGTCATATCTTCTGGCATATGATCTGGCATATCTTCTGGCATATCTTCTGGCATTCTATCTGGCAAATCTTCTGGCATTCTATCTGGCATATCTTCTGGCATATATTCTGACTATCTTCTGGCATTCTATCTGGCATATCTTCTGGCATATATTCTGACATATCTTCTGGCATTCTATCTGACATATCTTCTGGCATATATTCTGACATATCTTCTGGCATATCTTCTGGTATATCTTCTGGCATATCTTCTGACATATCTATCTGGCATATCTTCTGGCATATTTTCTGGCATTCTATCTGGCAAATCTTCTGGCATTCTATCTGGCATTCTATCTGGCATATCTATCTGGCATTCTATCTGGCATATCTTCTGGCATATCTTCTGGCATATCTTCTGGCATATCTTCTGACATTCTTTCTGACATTCTTTCTAACTTTCTTCTGCACATTCTTTGTCCCATATCTTCCTACATGAGGTCCGGCAGGGAACACTTGGCGTGGATACTCGCGGTTGAGGTCCGGCAGGGAACACTGGGCGTGGATGGTCGTGGTTGAGGTCCGGCAGGGAACATTGGGCGTGGATGGTCGTGGTTGAGGTCCGGCAGGGAACACTGGGCGTGGATGGTCGTGGTTGAGGTCCGGCAGAGAACACTGTGGATCGCGGGTCGCAGTTGAGCAAGGACGACGAGGACGACGAGGACGACGAGGAGGACGAGGAGGAGGAGAGGAGGACGAGGCAGGAGGAGGCGGAGGAGGAGGAGAAGGAGGAGGAGAAGGAGAAGGAGGAGGAGGAGGCAACTGACATAAAATCTAACAACCCTCACCTGGCAGGTGGGGAACAACTTGTTGGGTAGTTTTTTGAAGTATATGATTCGATCCATGTCTGAAGTAAAATCTTTTGGGGTATGAATAGAACATATATAAAGTTGGATGTTTGTCCAGGTCTTGGTTTACACTGGAATGGATCAAAACAAATCAAAACCATGTGCGAAATGTGACAATCAATGAACCAAATTGGTTTGCTCGGGTTTTCATCAGCGATTTGTTGAAGGTTACCCGTGCCTGGTAAACTTACTAAAAAACTATGGAAAATCACCATGTTTATGGGCAAATCAACGATTTCTATGGCCATTTTCAATAGTTTTTTGTTTGTTTACCAGAGGGTATTTGGTCTTAAGCCATCCTCATATCTCCATGTATTGCTGACGAAGATGCTCAGTTTGATGACTTTTTGTTAACCACCATGATATCATCTGAGGTGTTTGGACGCCGCGACAGCGTGATGTGACGACCAAGGAGCCGGGGAGGGGCGAAAAAATTGGGGGGTTCCCTGAAATTGACGTGTTTAAGGGAAATCACGCGAAATTGCTATTTTCAATCGGGAAAGCATCCGAACATGTCGAACATGTCGTTTTCTCTAGGGAAATCACCCGAAATTGAGAAGTTTGAAGTTTGGTTATCCCTATATTATCCACCATCAGTCATGTTGAATAGGAAAACCCCAATGGTTATTGGGTTTCCCACTTTTGAGAAAGAGTATGGGGATTGTTCACCCAAAATGGTGGACAAAAACCAGCCCAAAGTTGTGTTTCCTGGATGGTAACAAACGGGGCGGGAGTTTGACACCGATGCTTAAGTATTCATATATCACAGGTATTGAAATATCATAGGCAATCATGTTTAACATTGTTTAACTATATATGATATAATCTAGTAGAATAGGATTGTCATAAGCATGTTTTAGTTAAAAGAACTTCTGCCTGGATGTCAGGCAAAAAAAAGAGGATCCTTTTGAGTGGTTCATGGGGACCATCAGAGCCCAAGTGATCGTTTTCACCCGTCAAGTTGGCGCAAGCAGTTTGATGAGGTAAGCCAGCAAGGTGAGATTTGCCGCGAGATTGGCCATGTTTCACCAACGATGGAATTGATATGATTTGACTTTGACTAGCCTATGAGAAACCAAGCAATCTAATGACATAGAAATCACTATGTTTCACCAGTGTCATGGAATTGTAGTCTATAACTTGGCGGCTTATGTTACTATATATGTTACTCTGGGGCCTAGATATGTTCACGCTTGTGATAGCCTGTCATATTCCCTTAGTAAATCAACACATATATTGATTAACACTAATTATATATAGATTATAGATTCATATTGATATTGATTGTAAATATGTATATATATATACATATATTATAGATTATGCAAAACCGATCTACAAACTGCGTGTCTTGTCATATATATATAGATTACTTTGCCGGTAGCCTTCAGCCCGGGGTTGACACACCGTTCATCGACTGCGCTGTGAGGCTTTGGCGGATATTGATGTCAAGCTCCCGAACCCGGCTCTGGCAGATGCGAAGGAGTGGGTCTCCGGAGGTGAGACGAACACAATCACGCCTGATCATTGTGGATTTCTCAGAAAATTCTACCCTCTGGTTATGTCAAAATAGCTATTGAAAATGACCCAGTTGTAGTGGATTTACCCATTAATAATGGTGATTTTCCATAGATTGGTTTAAGGGATTTTTTTCAGGAAACCATAGATTTTCCCATTAAGATCATGGGGCTTTCCTGTAATTTTGTTCCTTAAACCAATCCATTGACTGATCATTGTGGATTTCTCAGAAAACTCGTGCAATGGGACGGTTAGGATGGGTTCACCTGCAAAAACACGACACTACACGTTCTCCAAATTTTCTGATCAATAATTTTGTGCAAATGACATCATACACACAACACAATTATATATATAATATATAATGTTATGTATAATGTAATACAAATATAAAATATAATATATAATATATTATATATATACTTATATTATATATATATATTATAGTATATACTATATATTATATACTATATATTATATATTATATATCATATATTATGTATCATATATTATATATCATATATTATATATTATATATTATATATTACGTATTATGTATTATATATTATATATTATATATCATATATTATATGTTATATATAATATCTAATATACCCATGTTCATCTGCAAATTGACTGCGAGTCGCTCATTTCCTCGCCGTTTCGCCATCTTTGCCAGGTGGGCAAGAAGAAAACAACATGTGAACAACTCGAGTGGCACTTTTGAACAATCTGGCAGAACTTGAGCAGTTCTTGCAGTTTGCATTCTCATCGCCAGTGATCAAATGTGTTGAGTCACAACCCCAAGAGGGGGATTGTTACATCCCAACACCGCAAATTAACAGGTACAACACCGGAAACAATCCTATGTTTTATTTTCCAGAATATATGGGATGTCATCCTTCCAATTAACTTTCATATTTGTCAGAGGGATTGAAACCACCAACCTGTATTATATATATATAGGATTACCCTCTGGTAAATAAACATAGACCCTGAAAATGACCATCAATATACCCCGTTTATGTTAGCATATATACCATACATGGATCCGTCATGGGATATATATTTAAGGGTTCCCCACCAGAATAGATCCCTATGCAATGGACTTCACCTTTCGCCGGCGTCGTTATTTCGCCTCGAACTCCATGGCAAAGCTGAGTGCTTGAGTGCTTGACTACACGAAGGTATCTCGGAGGTTCTCTGACACATGGGTCAATGGATTGGTTTTCACGGGAACATTTTCACCGGAAACCAGGGAAACCAGCATATTTTTCATGGTAACAACCATGGTTTACTGCAGATTTTTCCTCAATCCAATGACTGGAATGGGGGATTTACCTCCAGTAAACGCACGAAGAGTTTACTATGGAAGCCATGACCCATTTGCTCCGATTCAGATCGAATGGTGATGTCCAGTTCTGTTCGTTTACCGAAAACGGCCATAGAAAAAACATGGATTTACCCTGGATTTACCCATGAAAAATGGTGGATCTTTCCACACTGCAAACGTTGACCAGAGGCTACACCCGTACGAATCCCTTCCCCCGTACGATGGGGGACCCAGGTGACTTGACATGGAGATCGCAGCTGTAGCAGCTGGCGCGGCCGGTAGCCTCTTTGGATCCTTGGAAGAAAACCGGATCTGCGGAAGCCAGTTTGGCCAAGTGGGTAATAGCCTGACTCATATTAATCTAATCTAATCTAATCTAATCTAATCTAATTCTCTATCTATCTATCGATCTATCCACTCATCCATCCATCGATCTATCTATTTATCTATCTATTTATTTAAAAAAAAAAACATATGATCTATCTGTGTAGCTTTCTTATATATCTCCAAATGTAACGGGGTGAGAACCCACGGTTGCCAGACAGTAAACGGCTCCAGATCAAATCCAGACGGAAAATTCACTTGGGTATCTTACTGTGGATAGAGGATATCCTGCACCAAAAGGATGGTTGAAATATGTTGAAATCCTAGAAATAATGGGAACCACTTATCAACTGGTGCATTGATATCGATTTCTGCTTGGAACTTAAGCTCCAGATTCCACAGTTTCCACGGTCACGACATGTCAAGTCCCGACATGAGGCTACAACCGCGAAAATTACTTCTTCGATGGAGAGCAACCTCGACAGCACTTAGCGATCCAGCTACACTGCTAAAAGAAAAACAGTTGAACACAGCCCAAATATCCAAATCTGTAAGGTCTGGTAAACCGTCGAAAATTATCATTCAAATTTTTGGTAGCTACTTTGACAGGAAGACTCAAGATCCTGGTGTCTTCAAAAGAATCACGGTCCTGCGGCCAAAAGGAGCTGGTTTCGCTTGTTATGCTCGGTGTGCGTTTTCATGAAATTGAAAGACTTCTTGAATATACCTCAGGAACACGTAAGCATTAGATTCACTGATGCACATCTTGAATCATGAATCATAAGATTTCTAATCATACTCAGAGCATTCACAGATGATCAATCATTTGAAGTGATCAAAACATCACTTACCATCACTTACCCATATTTATAAATTGAATACTTAAGTTGTTTCATGATGGTGTAGATGACATGGTTGTTTACATCATATTTCCCAGGCTTCCAGGGGTCCTATCACATGGAAAGCGTTGCTTTCCCCGAAGGCAGCGTATCAAGCGCGAGTACCAAGGCGCGACATTTGATGGTCCCGGAGAAGGGCATTTTTCTGAAGAACCCTTAGGGATTATCAAACCATCAACCATATTCAACCATTACCCATAGGATCCATTGTGCTGCTATATATGCTAACATAAAGGGGGTATATTGATGGGATCCATGTTACCATATATAGCAGCACCATGGATCCTATGGGTTAGGATTATAAAGAGGGGATAATCAATTATCGATAATAATCATTGGATCAATCATCAGTTGTATAAATCGTTCAATCTGGTTTGATAATTCATAACCAACCATTGGGATAATCAACTATATAGTTTGATGATTTACCCCCTGGTAAACGTTGACATAACGAACTGGAAAATCACCACTTTTAATAGCAAAATCAACGAACTAAATGAGCCATAGCTTCCATAACAAACTGTTAAATTTCCAGAGAGTATGTTGAGGATTACCCTTTGGTAAACTAACATAGCTATGGAACATGGCCCATTTATAGATGGTTTACCCATTAAACATGGTGATTTTCTATAGCTATGTTAAATTACCAGAGGGTATCACAATCAACCATTAATCAATGCGGATTACCACAGTGGATTGAAGCCTGTTCTCAACCAAGCGTCGTTGTTCAAGGGACGAGAATTCGGGTTTGAAAGACTGACCCAGGGTCCGAAGTTGACCATGAGGGGGTTTAACATGGTTTAACTATGGATGGAGCAAACCAACAGGATGTTTCCCTTAACGGAGGATATTCAAGTTACCATCTGGTTATTTAACATAGCCATGGAAAATCACCATGTTTAATAGATAAACAATCTATTTCTATGGGCCATCTATCTATACCATGGCTATGTTAAATAACCAGAGGGTATATCTTCTTTACAGCAGATCCGAGACTCGTGACATCTGTAACAGGTCTCTGGAGTTAGGCTGGCAAGATCTGCCAGCCTATACAATATCATCGAAGTGTTTGTCTCCCGAAAGAATCAGATACTTACAGTATTAATATGTATATTAATTACAATAAAGGATGGTGCTCCCCAGTTATAAGATGTTATAAGTTGGTTTACAACCACTATCTGAATAGTATAGTTATGAGATGTTATGAGTATCATACACATTCATACATTTTTGTGATGTATTGTGACAATTGTAGTTATAAAAGTTACTGAAGCAACATTTCGCAAACTGACTGGGGCCAGGGTGCTGTAGGGTTGCCCCAGTTTATGATCATCTCGGAGGGATGGAGAAATGGGTAAATCAATGATTTCGACTGGGCCATGTTCAATAGCTTTTTGTATCTTTACCAGAGGGTAATCACGAAATAACCAATATTAATATGATTAATCACCTAACATTGGACGGTAGACATAACCTATGATGCAATCAAAGCACAACATACTCATATTGGATGTGAAAAACGGTTGACAGCAGCACAGGTTCCCACTGCAAAACGGGTGCTTGAATGATCTACCATATCTTGTTGAAATTGATCATTCTGACATGCTCAGGTTTGTTGCGCATGAAAACCCTCTGGACTGTTGCGCATGTTCCTTGAAGCCTTGGGCCTAGGACAGACCATGCGAGTAAAGCAGTTCGAACTCTTCCGAGAAGATATTCGTGACCTGATGAACCTGACTGTGGCGAAGATGGACAACTATCTCATCGCTGCTTGGCGCAGTCGCGGCGGTGTTGGTAGTGTTGGCCAAAGTTGGCGACCTGAAAGTTGGCTTGTGTTGGTGCCACTGAAATAAGAGACATATTTCTATAACTTATATCTTAAATTGATCCATCCAAAGTATCCAAAGTAGGGGTATTTTGTTGTTGAGCCATACCCAGTTGAAGCATTAGATGAAACTGGTTTGGATGTGCCTGTGGCTGCTGGATGTGAAGGATGGAAATGTGGAAATGCTGGACGTGGGAGGCTTTGAGCCATGAACTCTGAATTTTCTCTTCGTCTCATTTGATTAGGGCCCCAGAACTTTGCATCAAAAATGACTGAACGGTACTTATGACTTGACATTGAAGATGGAATTCTGTGACCTAACCACAATTGTTTCAAGGAATGCTAGATCTTATTAGATTTTTTTCAGGTTTACCTGTCATGGGGTAGCCCAAATTCTTTCTGATTTTGCAGTGAGCAGAGTTTTTCAAACCCCTGTGGGTTGATCATTAGAGGAGATGACATGCATCCTGGTTGGTGCTTTGGAACATGGCTTTTATGACTTTCCATACCCATGACGGATCCATGGTGCTGATATATATGGTGCTCCATGGATCCCATCAACAAAACCCCCCAATCAATGTTAGCATTAATATAGCAGCACCATGGATCCTATATGGGATATATTGGGAATGTCATGATCTCAACTGACGAAGTCCGTGATTTTTTCAGAGGGGTTGGTTGAAACCACCAACCAGGTAACATTGATTTCTTCTCACAGTCCAGCTGGGAAATCCTGGTGTCACCAGCTCGAGTCTCGTCCCCAAGTCATGTGATTCCCGGCCAATCGAGCTGAGGTCAACACCATCCAGGCCGGCCCGTTGGGGTTTAAACCGGTGCTTTGTTGGGTCTCAGAAATGATGTTTGTATATAAAGCAGTTGGTTATAGTTGGTTATAAGCCAGATAAACCAGTTACTAGTAGTTATGTTGGTTTCTTTGTGACTAGAAACTCATAAACATATATGAGTTTCTAGTCATATCCTCTTTTTTTCTAACCCACCAGTTCACCTGAATTGATGTTCACGAACTTCGCGATTTCGTAAACGGGTGCCCCACCTTGTACCACGACGTTGGTTGGTTATGGCCTTCGACCACCTGCTATGGCGGATGCGGATGGTGAAATCCCATGAACTATGGATATATCTGCTGTAAAGTGACAAAGTTCACCTATGTTCATCTAACTAAACTAACTTGCCTAACATAAACTAACCCTGTGTTTTTTTCCCCACTTTTCCCATAGGTTCAAAACTTGTTCCGTTGTCCTTGGTGAGTTCCTCATGGAATGCCATGGAACTATGGAGAATGATGTGAGGGGATGTGTCAAAACCTTGTAGCCCTGGTGAACATCAAAATAGCTGATCAGTGGATGTAAATGGTATGTATAGATATTGATCCAATTGATCCATGGCCAGATGGACATACATATATATAATATATATATATATGTATATATGTATGTGACTATGTTCCAAGAGGATTTGAGTCAAATGCTGATTGAATGAGTTGCGAGACTTCAGTATGCTGATTGGTAATTGCAAGTTCTTGGACAGTTGAGGAATGTGCTTTGACAGGGTTTGTTGAGCAATTGTTGAAACACATCGAAGAGACGTTTGCATAGATCGTGTTGCCTTGAACCGTTTGTAGATATTTGTTATTGGCGTCATCATATCCTTTGTACTTGTGCAAATAATAAACATGGTCGTTACACAGAACACACACACATATCACATATCACATATTGGATTAATGTTCCACGTGGGACTTGCCGCAAAGTTCAGATGATCAGAGGAAATCATGTTATGTCATGTTCGCTTTGCACAATCAAACATGCATGGAACATCTATAACTGTTCTGGGATTTTTTTCGTGGCTGAATCCGCATTGTTCTTGGTTGCCATTTTTTTTGCTGGTGAACTTACTCTTTGAACATTGAAGTTCTTGGACAAATTGCGGTAAACATGATAAGGTGGTCAACCCAATACGTTATATATATATAAACGGCAAATGCCTGGGCTTTGCCCGGAACCGCAACCACGACAGGCAACGCATCATCATCATCATCATCATCATCATCATCATCATCATCATCATCATCAAACCCTTATTGAAGATCTTCAATGAATGTAGAAGTTTAACGGTGGTGGGAGAATTAAACCCTTATTGAAGATCTTCAATGAATGTAAATTTTAACGGTGGTTGGACTTTAACATTCCGTAATACCTCTGTTGATCTTCCCAATTGAATGCAAAGCCCAGGCGTTGCGCGTATATATATATATATATATATATATATGTATAAATATAAATATATATATATATATGAAGCATGTCTGATGAAAACATCAGAAGTCAAGCAAATCACCTGCTAGAACTCAAGCCTCAAGCCGGGCCGTTGATGGGTGACAAAAAACTTAAACCCAGGGACCAGAAATCACCCAGAAAGATTCACAAACCATGGCCCATAGGATCCATGTATGCTATCTATGGTAACATTTACCATCAATATACCCCCAATGTTAGCATATATATATACCATACATGGATACTATGGGTGGGTGAATCCGAAAAACATGTCCACCAAAACTTCACAGAATTGGATGATGGGAAAATTTTAACCGGACACCCCTATATTACTGATGGTAATTTTACCATGGTTTCCGGTCAAATTTTTCCCTTAAACCAATCCATTGAAAACTGCCATTTTTTGGGGTATCCCATTTTTTAAAAAAACACCGAAATGCCGTTATCAATTGCTGAATACTCCCTATTTTGTTGATGGTTAAATCCTCATGTTGCAACATCCCATGGCTAAAGTATGGCTAGGTAATGTCAAATCATAGACATCCTAGCATCATCCACCAACAAAATTCCAGATTGGCCTGGTGGTGGTGCTCTTCACAGAGGGCCGCCCGGATCCGGGCGTTGCTCCGCCTTGGCTCCTTTGCTTGCCACCCGGCAGTGCGGCAGTGGATTTTGTGAGGCTCCCACGATTTTCAGAGCAGTGTATGGGATATATAACCAACCATATAGATGGGAATATGAGTAATTTGATGGAATTGTATAATGGTTATATATGGTTGATATATATATATATGGTTAGCATCCATAATATATACCAACAATATAATGAGTAATTTGATGGAATTGTATATATTATATGTAATTTGATGTTTTGCTTTTGAATTGGCAAAATGATGACAGCAGAAGGGCTGAAGAGGGCACCTACCTTTGAAGATCTCTTGGGTTGAGCTCGAAGGGACCGTCCGAGATGCAGGATGACCGAAGATCAAGGAGTGTGGACCTAATCTACTTTGAAAAACAGCATTTTTGGTGAGAAGAATATGACTTGAATGTCTATGGAGTGTTGGTGTCACAAAATTGCCTTGGCCGGATGAGTAGCCATGCTTGCATAGCTCGAATGTGATGTCAAGGTTTTTTGAGTTGTGCACCAAGGGTGTTTTTTTTTTCGGATTTTAGTACGCGAAGTCTGGAAATCAGCTGGGTTTTGACTGGCCACTTCTAGCCAGTCAGTCATTCTACAAATGAGGTGGGGTGCTTCGGGTGCCGGATCCTTCATGTACATCACCTTGTGCATTTGGCCCCTTGGACGCGTTCATTTGGCTGGGGAGTTGAGACGTGACCCCCGTGATATGATGTGGAGAGTGAAGGTAAAATTGTTTTCAATTTAGATGACATTTGGATGTCAAAGCAGCAGTGCTAGTTATATTTTCGCAATTCATGGTGTGTGTGTGCGCGCGTGTGTCTTTACATATCAGTAGTGAGCACTACAGCACAATGTGTCAGAAAGATCAAAACGAGTGAGTTGAAACATCGCGTTTTTTATCGACTTCGATGACGTTTTTTTTGCCTAAGACTCTTCAGAGAGCCCAGTTAATTTACTGCCACCATTAGTGGAGTCTACATCCACAGTCCACAATGTCCACAGGGTTCTCGGTATGGATTTGGATCAATGCAAAAAAAAACCGGTTCTCCATTATCTTGCAGCTAATCTCTGATTCCCAAGGGCCTAACAAATTGGCCATACAGGTCGATATAGGTTGTATCATCATGTATCATCTAAGTTTATGTTGGTTAAGGCATATCTAGTTGGTGGTTTGGAACATTTTTTATTTGTTCCATAGATTGGGAATAATCATCTCAATTGACTTTCATTTTTTTTTCAGAGGGGTTGGTTGAAACCACCAACTAGGTATCTATTCTTAAACTCATGACGACCATGCTGTTGGTGATTCCCCAAGTGCTTCACTTTTTCCCAGGCTGGCGATGCATGCGTCCATTTGTTCGCACTCCTTCTGCGTGCGAATGCTCACGCCGCTGGGTCATTGACAGGATGATCCCACTTATTTTTTTTGGGGGGGGTATTCCCCCAATAGTCATAATCTGATACTTAAATGGTACCTTCCCAATTAAACAGCCGTTTGGGGTTTATTAATCCAGGGTTGACATGATATAATTCCTGCTAGTACTTGGAAATTTAGGGTTATAACTTATAACTTATGAATTATATGAATTATACAAATGGGATAAGCTGTTTAACCCTGGGCAGGGGACATACAAACCGGGGTTAGTAAACCAGTTACCAACTGGGATGATCCTCCAGGTGAGCTTGTTTGCTCGGTGCTTTCACAGGGTGGAACCATGCGGGCCAATTTCGACAGTCAGTACGCTCAGCTTGAATCTAGGCAAGTTGTCCGCTTGCCGATCCCCACAAAGGCCTGGTATGGAAAGCGGATTTCTGAGTGGTGATGCTGTGGGACCGATCCTTTGCGATCTTAGGTTTCGTAGAGTGTGTATGTCAAATTTTAAATATCTTGGTGTGTGAGACTTTGTAACGTCGGTAGGGACGCCCCTTGTTGAATTTTGCAGAAGGCAAAAAGAACACATGTATGAATGTTTTCTGTAAAGGAAACACTATGTGTGTTGTTGTAATCTCCGTTTCTGTTTCATGAATCTCGATTTCCGCTGCCTGAATCTTCATCTCAGTATGTCAAACGACTTAACCTAGACAATATGATATCATCTTAGTCTCAACATATCAATGCAGCAACAAAAGTGCTTAATCTTATTTGATTATATTAGAATAGTGCTGAGCTGAGATTCAGAGCTATTCTCAGTAAATTGTTGTTTAATTCCATCTATTATGTCGATGATTAAATTGATGAGTTCCATTTATTTCGATGATTTACCTAATTTATCCTAATTTACCTATGAAACTGGGGTCTTCAATATGGCTAAATCGATGGTAAATCTTCCCTTTTCTCGTCCTCCAGGAGCAACTGGACGCTGCGCGGGTCTTAGCGACGGACTTCGAGGGCACCAAAGTCAGGTCGCCCCGGACGGAGATATGGAGAGACCCCTCGTTGGTCCCCTCAGAAACCTTCAATGTGAGGCCCCCAAGATACCCATAGGATCCATGTATGCTATCTATGGTAACATGGATCCCATCAATATACCCCCTTTATGTTAGCATATAAAGCATACATGGATCCTATGGGATAGCTAACTTGGTGCAAATAACTCCAATTTCACTATGGCACTATGGTTTATGGTACGCAAATAACGAACTAGTTACTGGGGCGAATCTAAGCCAACTTATAACTGAGGGGGGCTCACATTTTTGGAAATGGTAACTTATCCCATAGGATCCATGGTGCTGCTATATATGGTGCTCCATGGATCCCATCAATATACCCCCAGTCAATGTTAGCATTAATATACCAGCACCATGGATCCGTCATGGGTATGCATGAATAAAAGAGATTGACCGCAGAAGTAGGGAGATTTATATAATTCATAACTGTAATAACTAATGCTTGACGCATCACTGATATCAATAGTTGGAAATTGGGATTTAAACGATGAAATTATATTTAAACAATAATAGCGACAATGATGACTGATAGTGTGGAAATCTGGAAAGTATCCTTTCGTAACTAAATGAACATAACTATGGAAAATCACCATTTTCAATAGGTAAATAACCAAAAAACATGGCATTTTCCATAGCTATGTCAAAGAACTGGAGAGTATGTGGAAGACATCATCGAACTACCATCCTGGAAATACGTTTTTTTTTGCATCTTTTTTGGGCTTACTACATTCGTCATAGGGTGCCATCATTGATTCAGGAGTCATAAAACACATCATTGAATCATATACCCATATGATCCATGTATGATATATATGCTAACATTGGGGTATATTGATGGTAAATGTTACCATAGATAGCATACATGGATCCTATGGGATAATATGGTGAATTATGGTGATATGGATTGATACTTCATGGGGATGTTCATGACCAACTGTGTCTTTGAGGTCTTTCCTGTTGGGTTATAATGTTTCTCATTGTTTAAGTGAGGTATTCTCCAGCTGCCCTGGTTTTCTTGGGAGAAACTTTCGTTGTTTCTCTACCCGGCTTCACCCGTTGCTTCCTGTGCTATGCTTTGCGCGCCAGGGAAATGCTACGAGTGCCTGTGGTGAATCAGCAGCTCAAGAAGTTCCTCTGGCGGAAGCTTTTTGAATCCTGGCATCCTGAGATGGGATCACCATAGCTGGAGATCCATTGGATGGCTTTTCCTGAAGGCTAAGGTGATCAAAAAATACCAACTCTTTGAGCTAAGGTGAAGCCATGAATCAGAGATAAACATAGGGGCATATAGGGGCATATGACATAACTAACCTCGTCGTTGAGCAGGTAACCGCAGCCCATCTAAGAAACTTTCGGGGCAAATTCGACGGATCTCTCCAATGACTGGACCCTGTGGATGGTTTTCTATGGAAACGCACTATTCTTTGGCAAGTTTTCCAGGTTGGTAAATCACATAATCATTGGCCCAGATCTTGAGGGATGAAAAAAACAGGCACTTAACCAAGCAAAATGAAGTATAAGTCAGAAGTGTGGGGATTTTTGTTTTAATGTAGAGATACAGACCGACAAAGACCGACATATACAGGTGAATTTCCAACTCGGGTGAAGAATATGCTACAATCCCAAAAGCTAGTTTTTGTCCGACAGAGACTAGGGATCAAGTCAGACGGTTAATGCTTGACAAGTGAGGCGCCCAGTGGGGGTACTAATCACCTCGGGACACTCCTGTTTGGATCGTTTTTTCCTTTAATGTTAACGATGTCCACAGCAAATTGAAAACTGTGTGTGTGTGTGTGTTTCTGATACATGGTGATACATCCACTTATAGGCATAGTAAGTTGGGCCTGGTATGGCGACCAGGCATGTGTATCAGAACTGGTTCGATTCAACCGTTACAGAAAACCTCTATGTGTATATTTGTTGAAGATACAGTAAAGGTCGAATTCGTTGGAATTCGAGCATGCGTGCATGTTAATTCCTCGTTTTTAATGATGTGGTTAATGATTTATAATATAATATATATATACACAGAGAGAGAGAGTTGATTGTTGAATTTCAATGTTGTTTCCCAAACCAAAACATTCCATCCAAGGTTGTTTTCTCTCAAGATTTGATTGTTCACTTGCATGTTTGTTTTCATCAGATGCGCGGGGCGGGTGTTCAAAACCATCCGAGGACAACTCAGACCCAAATAAGGGATTGCTATCCTGTAGAATGGCTGACATTGATTGACAGGGTCAACCTGATCATTTGGGGGATTTGTTGAAAAAAACCCTAAACCCCACATGTGGGTATGGGTCAATATCTATAGATACATTTTTAGTGGGATGAACATCCATAAATCCCAGCTATTTTGGGGTTCACTAGGTACCAGGGTTTTGACCCATGTCTAGATTGTGTTCCTTTGTTGTCCATCAAATATTAGTGGCTTCCCCAGGCTTTTCCCAAGCACTCCGGAGGTTGCACAGCATGGTGGATCACCTGAACGACGACGGCAGCGATCCCAGCGATGTTTTTCCGGAGGTGGGACGGTGGAACCCTGGGAAATGGCGATGGTTTTCCACATGGGGAGATCCGTTTCAGATTTTTTGATGCTTTCAAGTATATATATATGTATATATTCATATTTTTTTGGTTGGTGGTTTGGAACCATTTTTTAGTTTTCCATTCAGTTGGGAATGTCATCATCCCAACTGAAGAACTCACTCATATTGTTCAAGATGGTATGGTTGAAACCCACCAACCAGATTGTTTTTGTGCAGATATCTACAAAGTGGGGCCCCCTAGATAGCTAAGTTGGTTAACTCCAATAACTATGGTTTATGGTACCTATAACTATAGTTACTGGGATTTATAAACCATCTTATAACTGAGGGGGCCCCACATTGCGTATCACAACTTCTTTAGGCCAGAGGAACTTCTTTAGCTGCTGATATAAGCACCAACAAATACTTGAAAGTGATGTTCAAAATCCCCACAACAGGACATTTACCAACCCCTGTAACTGATGTTTCCATATCTTTCCTGTATCTTTACAATGTTGAAATCCACTCGGAGGAGACCATGCTGGATGCCGATGGCCGTCCAGTGGCCACGGACACCTTGGCCCATGTGCTGCTTGACGTGGTGCGTGGCGGGTAACGCATGGGTTGAGATGGGTGAATCACTGGCAAAAACAGGGGTTACCCTCTGCTAAACATACAAAAAGCTATGGAAAATGGCCATTTATGGTTGATTTAGCTAGTAAAAATGGTGATTTTCCATAGCTATGTTAGTTTACCAGAGGGTAATAAGTGTTAGGGATATTGAAAACAAATGGTTATAAAAGGCTTGGTGAATAATTAGGGATGAAAAAATGTATGAATAGTGGTTTACTATGGTTATTGTAGATCGGTTAATAGGTGTTGACAATGGTCATATATGTTGCTGTTTATTTACCCACATTCACTGATGTCGTATGGACCAAATTAACTAGGTGTTTTGCAAGGTTGATTAGTATAGGAATGCAGTTACATATATATATATATACTACACATGTTTGCTGGCTGTGGTTTAAAGTGGCCGTTGGTATTGAATAGATTTGTTGGCAAGATCTCGTACTCGACATATTGGTGCAAGGGTGAATTCCCGTAATTTCAGGATCCTAAAATGGAGGTACTGTACCATATAAGACCATATTTTGTGGGGATATTCCCTTACATAGGCCTTATAAATGCCTTATATATGGTAGGTACCTCCAGTTTAGGTTCCTGAAATGGCCATTGATGAATTCAAACCTGTACAGGAGGAACCAGCTTCTGCACATCCATGATTTGCGGCACGAGCTTTGTGATCGACTGAGCAGTGCTCAACAATTTTTGTTGAGTGATGATAATGGCAGGTTTTACTAGCTAGTTGATTGGGGATTATTGTGCACCCGTAGAAATGAATGAATGACGAAAGGCTTCGAACATCTTTGAACACTGCTCAACTGAACATTTCAGATGTCACATGATCAATCAGCAGGTCAGGGTGACATTTTTCTCACAGAGTGTACCCTCTGGTAAACGTTTACATAACTATGGAAAATCACCATTTTGTTTATGGAAAATTCACTATAACTGGCAATTTTCAATAGCTATGTTAAATTACCAGAGGGTATGTGTCAAGTTGTGTTTTGGTTTCCCAGGCCTCAAGAGCAAGGCTCAAGTCGGATTTTAACTCTAATTTTCATTGATCTGGGACATCATGGGAAAATCTGATGTAACATTATAAAACATTATAAGACTAATTAACATGAATGAACTAGCTATAGTTAGGATAATATATATATATATATAGTTGGAGCACGGCCTTTATCTGGCCGTGCGTTTTCGTGCACATTGGGGGGGTGGGGTGGGGTGGGGTGGGGGGGTGTGTGTTAACGTTCATGTGACCTTGCTAGGTAAGTGGACTCGTCTCTGTGTGTGCCGTTATGTGCGTGTAGACATGGGTGGGGTGGGGTGGGGTGGGGTGGGGTGGGGCATGTGTTAACGTTCATGTGAACTTGCTAGGTAAGTGGACTCGTCTCTGTGTGTGCCGTTATGTGCGTGTAGACATGGGTGGGGTGGGGTGGGGTGGGGTGGGGCATGTGTTAACGTTCATGTGAACTTGCTAGGTAAGTAGACTCGTCTCTGTGTGTGCCGTTATGTGCGTGTAGACATGGGTGGGGTGGGGTGGGGTGGGGCATGTGTTAACGTTCATAACGTTAACGTTCATGTGAACTTGCTAGGTAAGTGGACTCGTCTCTGTGTGTGCCGTTATGTGCGTGTAGACATGGGTGGGGTGGGGTGGGGTGGGGCATGTGTTAACGTTCATGTGAACTTGCTAGGTAAGTGGACTCGTCTCTGTGTGTGCCGTTATGTGCGTGTAGACATGGGTGGGGTGGGGTGGGGTGGGGCATGTGTTAACGTTCATGTGAACTTGCTAGGTAAGTGGACTCGTCTCTGTGTGTGCCGTTATGTGCGTGTAGACATGGGTGGGGTGGGGTGGGGTGGGGTGGGGCATGTGTTAACGTTCATGTGAACTTGCTAGGTAAGTGGACTCGTCTCTGTGTGTGCCGTTATGTGCGTGTAGACATGGGTGGGGTGGGGTGGGGTGGGGCATGTGTTAACGTTCATGTGAACTTGCTAGGTAAGTGGACTCGTCTCTGTGTGTGCCGTTATGTGTGTGTAGACATGGGTGGGGTGGGGTGGGGTGGGGTGGGGTGGGGCATGTGTTAACGTTCATGTGAACTTGCTAGGTAAGTGGACTCGTCTCTGTGTGTGCCGTTATGTGCCTGTCTTTGGTTATAGTTTTTTGTTCGATGCAAGTGAAGGTCCGTTGCAAGGTCGTCTGGCAGGTTGTGCCAAATTCATCAATACATAACATGTTGAAATCCAGGTCGGTTGCAAGGTCGTCTGGCAGGCTGTGCCAAATTCATCAATACATAACATGTTGAAATCCAGGTCGGTTGCAAGGTCGCCTGGCAGGTTGTGCCAAATTCATCAATACATAACATGTTGAAATCCAGGTCTGTTGCAAGGTCGTCTGGCAGGCTGTGCCAACTTCATCAATACATAACATGTGGAATTACAAAAAAATGCGTTTTCGCCTAGGCGAAATACTTGTTTTTTCATTTCATGCACCAGAATAAGGGGGTTTCTTGTCTTTGAACTCACATCAAAACAATACAGGTCGAATTAGTTGGGGAGTTCTGAGAAACATCAAAAATGATAGTTTCGCCTAGGCGAAACGCTAGATTTTGATTTTATGCACCAGAATCAGGGTTTTTTCGCCATCAACCAAAATCCTATTGGCACGACCACATCAAACATCATCCATGACACCCCGTTGATCACAAAAACACCACGGCCAGATAAAGGCCGTGTTCCTAGTTACACATATATATATATATAATTACATACATATATATATATATATATCAATATGGTTAATCCTATAACTAGTAACTAACTATATAAGTAGAGTAACCAGCAAGCCTAGCATTTTCACTTTTCCTCCCTTGGCCCGAGGAGATTATATCGAAAGATGCAGGCCAATTGGCAGGCCTACGATGTTGCGCGGCAACATCTTGAAATGGACAAGGAATCCACATTGACCACTGGATCTCTTGGCAATACTCTTTATTTGGAGGTTCCATTTTATGGGGTACCCCTTAAATTTTATTCATGTTATAGATGGATGTCCAGCTATTGGGGTACCCCTTAAATAGGAATCCTCCATAGACAGGTGGATTTTCATCCATCGTCCGAATTGGATTTGGATCATCGGCCGTAAATTCGCAGATTACTTGCTTTGCATACCCATGGGATCCATGGTGCTGCTATATATGCTAACACTGGGGGTATATTGACGGTAAATGTTACCATATATATAGCATACATGGATCCTATGGGATACATGATTGATTGGACCTAACGGTTCTGAAACGTTGCAGACAAAATCATGTCTTACTTAGTGTTGTCGTCCTTGTCAGTGGGCCGATGGAAGTATCCAATCAAGTCATCAACAGCATGGGTTGTTAGTCAACCAGCGGGTTTATATAGTTGATGAACATCCAATGGGTTTATAAACCAACAGTGGGTTTATCTATCTGGGTAAATTATAACGACCTCACTGCGACCTCACTGGAATCATGGTTAATAAGAGGAATCATCCCCAAATGGCCTTAATTCAGGTTAGTGAAATATTGTAATTTACCCAGATCTATTGTTGTTCATCAATCAATATCCGCATGGGTGGACCACCTAAAACCAGCATGGTCCTGTGGAACACAGAGGCCTGGGAGAGGATGACGGGTGACGGGTGTTTTCCACTTCGATGATGTGCTTCAAATAGACTGGGTGTGTCTGAATTTGAAGTAAGTATACAATGATTAAGAAGGAACACCATGATTAACTAGTCGAATTAGAGGTAGTATCTGACTTTCAGACAAAACCATACATATACATATATATATATATACATGTATCCATATATCCATATCCACATTTATATATATATATATATATCCATATATCCATATGGGTATAACGTGTTTCACCGACCCCACCAAGTCTGTTCAAGTATTCTGTATGTGCACGTTTCAGAGATATTGTGCTGTGCTTGTTTCCCAGCAGTTGTGCACGTTTCACAGAAGTTGTGCACGTGTCACAGAAGTTGTGCACGTTTCACAAGCCCCCCAATAACGTTCGTGTTCAACTGTATATACACTGAGCGCATTCTAAACAGCAAAAGCATTGGGGCGACCAAACACGTTTTCCCGATCCACATATAATCAATGATAGAGCGTTATTCCAAAATTCATCACACGTTCATATCTACGCCTGTTCATAGTGTTATAGACTATAAAGATAGCAATAACTCTAGTTATAACTATAACTTATAACTTATAACTACATAGTGTTTAGTTCACCTATGCTATTCATACACTGTTATAGTTATAGCAACTATTATTCCTACTTAAGGATAATCCCCCATTGCTAGTCCTGAGGCTTACGCCCGCGTGAGCATGGCCATGGGAACCAACCAGTTCTTGCAGGCGGATGTCGATGTTTTTGTTTTAAAAACATGCAGGAATTTGGCAGGGGTTGGTAACTGTCCCATTTTGGGAATATTGGACATCACCTTATAGTAGCCATTATAGACCATATACCTAATGGTTGGGTGATGTTCAATGGGGACATTTAATGACCCATGTTTGGGGTGAGTTTCCGGGATATCCAATGGGATTTCACCAAACATATGGTAATTTTAAGGACTTTTTAGGATTATTTATGGTCTGGGTAAATTTCATCACGACCGAACCCTGTTCTCCCGAGCCCTGGAAATCATGGTTAGTAAGGGAAATCATCCCCAAATGGCCGAACTATTCATTTACTCAGATATGGTGATTTTAAGGACTTTTAAGATGATTTTATCTCGTGAATGGGACTTCATCAACAAAAATCTGGTGATTTAATTGTGAATTCATCTCTTGGACTGTTGGTCAGTGGGCATTTCAGGACCTAAAAAAAGGTACCGTAACATGTTCAGGGCCATATTTGATTGGGATGTTCAGGGAAACCTGGGTTTTAAAAAAAGACCCTACGTTGATCAGTACTCCTCATTGAGATACCTGAAGTCTCCCCTGATCTCTTTGACTGTTGCTTTAGGTTAAAACGCTGAAAACACATTTGTTTTGAGGGATGAGTATCCGCAACTACCAGCGATTTTTGCAATGTGAGTTTCGAGTGCCATGACCCACAAGGCTCTGGCTCGTTGGGAAGTTGCTCTGGCTGCGCACTATATTTATCCATCTTCGAGAATCATATGTGCACACGTTCTCATAGATCCAAACTTGTGGGGCTTACACTCTCATTGGGGGAACATCTTGGAGTCACATCAGATCGGGAACACATCAGTGCCGCACGATATTTGCACGTCCATCTACCTACCTGTAGAATTAGATGATTTACCGCACATAAATACATATATATATATATGATATTTGAAGCAATCTTATCCTAATAAGTGTCAATAGATTCTTCGTAAACGTACATTGGAGTTCATTAAAAAAAACAACGAGTCCACTCTCCACCTTGAAACGTGCCAGCAACTGGGCTACACTTGCCTCATTGGTTTCATCACAGAGAACAAGTCCATTCTGCCGGGCATGTGTTGCTGGGCGAGTTGGGAGAGACACTTAGCCACAGATTTCAAACGCAAAGCATGGACTTGCAGAGTTTGCTTGTGAGGTGGTGCCGCGTAATTAGCGAAGTTGCTCTACAATGGGATGTAAACAAGGTCATTGCGTGTTTCGGTGCTTTTGACACCATGTTTGCTTTTCCAATACTGGTACAACGTTGGAGTGGGTAGGTCCACAATGGTCCACATTTTTTTTCAGCAGAGGTTCTGTCGCGATCTTCAGCATTTGCGCTACATTGCTCATCCGATTAGATTTGTACTTGTTGGGAGCCTCAGCGGGTGGAGATTTAGGGATTGAATTTGGTTGGGATGTTTTTGTTTGGCAGCAAGAATAGAGATGCAGAACCAGTTCACAGATTTCTGGTTGGTGGTGACTGGAACCATGGAATTTTCTGACTTTCCATTTTTTGGGGGAATGTCAGCACATTCCAACTGACGAACTCCATGATTTTTCAGAGGGGTTCAAACCACCAACCAGATTTAGAAAACGCAATGGCATGATTAGGCCATTGGGATCCATTGGGCCATTGGGCCTGGCTAAGGGCGGTGGGGCCCAGAGCTGACTGCAAGGTAAAACCAAAGAGTACCAAGTCGTCTGGACAAGACCTACATGTTATTAGAATAGATTGGAATCAACAATTAACATCAATTACTGGTTGGTGGTTTGGAACATTGTTTATTTTCCACAATATGGGTATGGATCAATACCTATTAATACCATTTTTAGGGGGATGAACATCCATTTACCAGCTATTTTGATGTTCACCAGGGGTACAAGGTTTTGACACACTGCCATATATGGAATGTCATCATCCCAACTGACGAACTCCATGATTTTTCAGAGGGGTAGGTATCACCAACCAGTTAAGTAACTAAGTATGATAATCACTGGGATTAAACCATACTAACATATACTAACATATACTAACATATACTAACATATACTACTAAACCATAGATAGTGTAGGTATCACCAACCAGGTAACATCAATTAAGTCTCACGCGTTTTCATAGCATGGCGTACTTCATCCAGGAATCCAGGTATCTCCCACGATCCAGTGCTGGACGCGTGTAACCGTGGCCAGGCCTTGGCGCTCGTTGATCCTTGCGGGAGTTCTCAATACGTGTCTTGGCGATGCCTGTGATCACCGGTTGAAAAGCTGCACCGGCTGCACGGAAGGAGCGGTTCTGAAGCTGGTCACACTGCCCGATTTTTTCGCTGGGGTTGATGCCTGAAATAACTGCCAGGAGTGCTTGGATGGGACTCAGTTGCTGGCAGATTCCAAGTCCCAACTCTTCCTTAAGTTGCTAAAGATATTTTTGAACAAAACCACCAGTTCTATGGCTTGACAACCACTTCCCAGGATGTGGGCCCAAAGGACCTAGGAAAAGAGTAGTGAGCATCATTTTAGGCGACAAAAAGAATTGATGGCCCAGACATCAACATCCTTTAAGAATTGGATTTTTATATGTGTTTTAATACTGTTCCTGCAGTTCTCCTTTGGTGGTGATCGTGACTTCGGGCTGATGCAGATGTGCTGGCTGTCTCATAACCCAGAAGTTCGGATAGCCATCCATGAGAGAAATAGCCATCCATGAGATCAACAAGCAAAATCCATCCATTCATGTCAGGTCATCCATGTTCACAGCGCCATATTGCGATTGTATTCTCCCCCGAAGCTATATAGTGCTGTAGTGCTTAGAATCAGAACGTGACATCTATGTGCACCATGGATAGTATTTTTGTTTCAGTATGTGTCATGGTTGTTCTTTCATTTCATGAGATACTTATCACCACTGACTCATATTTTTCCTTGCACTCAAAAGCTCAAAGCCTACAGGCAGCCCATCCCGGGCCTGCTAATACCACGCATACCATACATGGACTTGATTTAGATTTCAACACTTGTACTGACATCTTAGAATGACTTCATATATTGGTTGAACAATATTCATTCAATCATCTAAACTTTCTAAACACTGGTATTTGAGCCTATTAAAGTCATCCAATCACTACTGTAAAAGAAGTCAAAATCTAGTTGTCCACTGCAGGTTGCCGCCCATGGTTGCTGGCATCAGTCTGATCTTGAACTTGGCCGCTTCGTTGCTCGGCGAAAAATAATCCTGGCCCATTCCCCTAATCCTTAGAAACCATAGTTTAGTAGGGAATTTCCACGTAATTGGGTTTATTTAGGGGGTGTTTCATAGAATATACGGGGGAGGACATTAGCTGGAATTGTTCCACGCACATCGGATGGGGATTTTGTAAAATGTAGGACCTTTTTTCATTCACAAGTGGAACAGAAAAAGCTTCTTAAACATTGGAAATTGGGGCTAACATCAATGTGGTTTTTCAACCTAACATCAATGTGACATGTTTTTCAAAACAAGAAAACATCAGGAAGCCCTTTTTTTTATAATCCCAATGAATCCGTATGGGTCGTTAATCACATGGCTGCGTTGGGTTTCTCAGGACGAACTGGGAGAGCTTCCCGGCCTGGTAATGACTAACAAAAAGCTATTGAAGCCATGGCCATAGAAAGTTCGTTGATTTACCCAGCTGGAAAATGGTGGATCTTTCCAGTTCGCAAACTGTGAACGTTTACCAAACAAACTAAACAAAAAACCACCATAGTTTGAAATCTGAAGTTGTAAACATTGGCATTTTGCAACATACTATAGATCATCGATATGTGATATGTTCCTCCCGAAATTTCGGCATGATGATCCCCTACTAGGGAAACAGTATGTTTTACATATCTATCCTGCAACACAGTATCATGAAACAACACTATGTTTTATTCAACTATTTGTGTGTTTTCTTCCAACACAAAAAAATGTGCTGTATCCAACAGCAGGTTAGCATTTTTCTAGCACACATTGTATTGTTTATCGAACAATAACATTTGTCTATCCAAAGCAAAAAATGGTGGTTCTTATTTGACTCAAAATTGTGACATGTAACATATTTCATGCGCGATGTGAATTAAACATTCAAGAAATGATGTTCCAGCGTGGCCATGTGTGACCGGTTTATCACTACACAAATTGTGTGTGTGTTTCTCAGCCACTTACAATGTGCCCCGCCCCAGTTATAGTTTGATAGATAATGATATATATAATATATATATATAATATATATATATAATATGTATAACCCTTTTAGCTCTGGATGGATTGACCAGTTGTCCTTTTTCTATTAGACACAAAACCAGTTGCTGCGCTGAACAAACGCAGGAGATCTGATGAAGCCGACTATTTGAGATGCTTGGAAGATACAATGGAAAGATCCACCATTTTTTAATAGGTAAATCCACTATACATGGGTCATTTTCCATGGGATACCATCTGGTTATGACTAACAGTTTGCCATGGAAAGATCCACCCACCCATTTTTAAGTTCGCTAAACCACCTATTTCTATGGGTCATCTATACCATGGCTATGTTAAATAATTGGAAGATAGAATCGATGGGCAGCTGACTGGCAAACTTTGTCTTTGGATCCTATCGTGTAACAGTCCAAAATACACTGGAAACTTCTGTTACCCGCCTCGCGGCACCTCCGATTTGGGTACCCAAAACGGCCAGTGAACATGGGAGTCATTTGAACTTTGGCCGTGTTTTTCACCAGCTTTGTACCATATACATACATGTGTATATATATTATATATATATATATAATGTCAACCCCGGATTAATAAACCCTGGTTTATTAATTAGGGGGGGGTACTCCTCCAATAGTCATAATCTGATTTAGGACGTAGGGCCGTTGGGGATTGTTTTGAAGACTCACACACTGGCTGATCTGTGGCTGGATGTCACAGAGATCCCGAGTCTGGTGATGGGCCATGCAGCCGTAGACAGCAACAAGGCCCCTTACCCATAGGATCCATGTATGGTATATATGGTAACATGGATCCCATCAATATACCCCCAATGTTACAATGTGGGGCCCCCCAGTTATAAGATGGTTTATAAACCCCATTAACTATAGTTATAGGTACCATAAACCATAGTTATTGGAGTTATAAACAAACTTAGCTATCTAGGGGGCCCCACTTTGTAGCATATATACCAGCACCATGGATCCTATGGGCACTGCATTCACGGCTGGTGTATTTGATTTTGGATTCGATCTAGCCTCGAAAATATGTTTTTTCTGATGGTTTTGACAGCACGATGGTCATGTTCTGCAGAACACTCCAACTTGAACAGAGAAATGCTTGAATTTGCCCCATCCACTCCCCTCAGAAGAGTCCTCTAAGAACTGGTGGCTGATGCAATTGTGCCTTTCATTTTCTTCCTTCACATCATTTGGTTGCTTGGCAGAATGAGCACATCCACAGCAGCTTATGAGTTCTCCAGTTGTCCAGACTTTTTTGGCATGGTTTGTGCCGTGCCTAACCACCTAGCTGCAGATAAATTTGATCGCAACCTCACTGCGACGTCGCTAGAAATGATGCTTAGGATTGTAGGATATTCCGAAGTATTCAGATTCGTAAAGCAGTGGCATAGTGGCTAAATGTATATGTTCTCTTTCTTCAATGATTGTTTCAATGGCAACAATCCCTGTTCCCCTGTTCATTATGAAAAACACCCCTACCGAAACCATGGTGTAGGGGATTTGCACATCATTGGGAGCAGCTCGGGGCTGTTTATATAATAGGGAGATGGGTGAGTACACACCATGAAGATGCGGTGGTTTTTCCCTTCCACAAGGCATTCGTAGGCAAGTCATGACTTGTCATGACTTGTAGGCTACCAAACATTTTTTTGTGGTTCAATGCTGGTTGGTGGTTTGGAACATGTTTTATTTGTCCATAGATTGGGAATGTCATAATCCCAACTGACGAACTCATATGTTTCAGAGGGTAGGTATACCACCAACCAGTTAAGTAACTAAGTATGATGATCACTGGGATTAAACCATACTATATAACATATACTAACCATATATATATAGGGTAGGTATACCACCAACCAGAATAGTTTAACATAGTTTCACCTGATCTCCCCTGACGATGTTGGCGGTATCCCCTTTTGGATGAACCCGGGAGCCAAGGTTGATTCTGTTGCTGAACTGGGCGAAGGTGGGGAGCCAAGTGACAGGTCGTGGCCGAACAATGGGACCACTTGTTGGATCTTGTTGGTTCCAAATTGGCCTTAAATGGTGACATAGCCATACGCTGCAATAGGGTTTGACAAATTTGAATGTGGGATCTTCTGAAATTTGATGGTTTAAAACCGTTTACCTCTACAAAAAGGTGTAATTGTCATCAGTTTTCGTGGACATGTTCCATTTTCAGATACTGTAGACCCATCGAGATGGCTCCCCATCCAGGGCAAAAAGATCAACAACCTTGCGCTGCCCACCATCTTCAGAGCAGTGTGGTGCCCTCAGAACTCGCCTGGCAACTCCCAAAAAGATAGATTGAATTCATGGACGGTACCCGCTGGTAAACTAACATAACTATGGAAAATCACCGTTGTCAATGGGAAAATCCACTATTTCTATGGTCATGTTCAATAGCTATGTTAAATTACCAGAGGGTATTTATTTTGTTTGGGCTTCGATTTAGAGTCCCAAAATGCAACGTTTGGATACTTTTGGGGTGTAGTACTGAGCCACTCATATTTCTGTTGAGACAGTCAGGCGGGGTAACCCTCCAGGTACCAAAGGCTGTCCAAATCTTTCCCCGGACCAAAACGTGGATGAACAATTCGAAAATCACCCCATTTATTGATGTTCGCAGCTAGAAAGCTCGCGGATTTCCCAATATCTTCCGCAATCGGTTCTCTGTGCGACACGAAGCCAGGGATGGTGAAATTTCCAGAGGAAATGGGAGCTGAAGAAGCCAGTTTTCCCCTTGAAATGACTGGGTAGCTACAGGATTATGTGGGTAAAACAATGTCATGTTTACCAGCCATTTTCCTGGGAATGGTAACCATCCCACCTAGAAAATGGTGATTTATCAGGGGGATGGTTGGTGTCTTTTTTTTGGTTTTACCCACATCAAAAAAACATGTTCAGTCAAGGAAAAACCCATCCCGAAGTAGATTGGATGGAAGATATTTCCCTGAAAAATGCTCATCCTGCCGAGGGGGTTGAATCAGCACAGCTGATTCTTGAAAAAATCGACGGCTCTTTTTGTTGGCTCTGTTACCCAGCCATTGGTAGATTCATATTTTCCCATTTGTAGATTCATATTTTCCCATTTGTAGATTCATACAATGTGGGGCCCCCCAGTTATAAGATGGTTTATAAACCCCATTAACTATAGTTATAGGTACCATAAACCATAGTTATTGGAGTTTGTCGCATGTCCAATAAATGTGAGTTATGTTCACCAACTTAGCTATCTAGGGGGCCCCACTTTGTATATGTTCATATGCTTTTCCCAGGAAACCATGGTGTTTGTTGATGGTTTTTATAGCCATTCTCCATGGGACTCTGCCAGGCTGTACCTGGACGTCTTTGGATGGCTCAGCTCCCAAGAAGTACCGCAGGTTCGGCGATGTTTCGGCCTGGTGTTTATAGCAAGACCTGTATGCCTGGAGAAGCCAACAACTATGGTGATAATTATGGTGATATGATGGTGATTTCTAGAAATTATGGGTTGTTGTGATTTAGTTTAGTGAATTCATCTCACAACTCTCCAGGATGTTTTATTTGATAGCTAACGCTGTAGAAAACTGAACAAAGAACATGTGGCTGGCCAGGGCTTGGTTGCTGCAGCAGGAGGCGTGCAGGAGGCCAGGAGGGCAGCAAGCTCGCTTGGAATGGTATGGTGTGCGACTCTCCGTTGGGTACCCTCCGGTGTCATCAAACATAGCAATTTTGGAAATCCCTGCACTAAATGGAGGTTTATAGCTGGGAAAATTTCATAGAAATATGAAATGGAGGTTTATAATATAGCCTGATTTTCCCCAGAATATATAGATTTTTTTTCCCAGCTAGAAACCTCCGTTTAGTTGTTTAGGTTGTTTTTCCATTTTGCCATGTTTGATCACACCAGAGAGTACCCGGCTCACATGGCATTTGGAGCCCATAGGGGTTTCCCCATTGATGGTGCACGGCTGCTAGGCGGAAGATGGAGGCAGATCAGCTTTGAGCATTGTAAGGGAAGAGGACAGAGATCTTAAAACTGCGATGGCTGGTGATTTCTGAATCGCTGCATCCACCTTCATGGCTTGCCAGGGACAGCACTATCTCCCGCAAGTCTTTTTTTGTTTTCTTTATGTGTGGTGTGTTTGTTTGTTGAGTCATGTTGACTCCTATCATTCATGTGCAAGATGTTTTGTAAACATTTGCAACCAGACTTGTGATATTTTTTGAGGGAGTCTGTCATATTTGCACATTCCCACGTCCAAAGAAACCGGCTGGAAATTCACTTTTTATGCAGGCGATTTCTCAAGTATCGTCAAAGGTTAACTTAAGACCTCACTGCAACGTTCGTGGAATGATGCTTAGAAGGGGCAAGTACCCTCCGGTAAACATACAAAAAGCTATTGAAAATGACCATTGAAATAGTGGATTTACCCATTAAAAATGGTGATTTTCCATAGCTATGTTAGTTTACCAGAGGGTATCCCAAAATAGCGTCATTGTTTTTTTTTTATTTCAGGTTTTTTAAAAAAAATTGGAAATCTCCAGATCCATGATCCAATAAACCATCCCCAGTATTCCCATAAAGTTGGCTTGTGGCATCACAGATGGAGCATCGATTCAATGCCCCATTCGAAAAATGGGAGACCCCGTTCCATCCATTGATCAGTTATCATTGGGCCCGTTTAAATGGCAAATCCACTTGGTCACTTGGGGATACTTGGGGTTATAGAATCTCCAATTTTCAGATGTCAGTCAGATTCATTGTCTTGAATATAGTTGGTTATATCATGTTATATCTCCCATTAAATATCCCCATGAACATCATTCCACTAGTCAAATATGATCATTCCCCACCTGCCAGGTGAGGGTTGTTAGATTTTATGTCAGTTGCCTCCTCCTGCCTCCTGCCTCGTCCTCCTCCTCCTCCTCCTCTCCTCCTCTCCTCCTCGTCCTCCTCGTCCTCCTTGTCATCCTTGTCGTCCTTGTCGTCCTCGTCGTCCTCGTCGTCCTCGTCGTCCTCGTCCAACTGCGACCCGCGATCCACAGTGTTCTCTGCCGGACCTCAACCACGACCACCCACGCCCAGTGTTCCCTGCCGGACCTCAACCACGACCAGCCACGCCCAGTGTTCCCTGCCGGACCTCAACCACGACCAGCCACGCCCAGTGTTCCCTGCCGGACCTCAACCACGACCAGCCACGCCCAGTGTTCCCTGCCGGACCTCATCTGCGAGTATCCATGCCAAGTGTTCCCTGCCGGACCTCAACCGCGGGTATCCATGCCAAGTGTCCCCTGCCGGACCTCATGTAGGAAGATATGGGACAAAGAATGTGCAGAAGAAAATTAGAAAGAATGTCAGAAAGAATGTCAGAAGATATGCCAGAAGATATGCCAGATAGAATGCCAAATAGAATGCCAGATAGAATGCCAGAAGATATGTCAGAATATATGCCAGAAGATATGCCAGATAATATGCCAGAAGATATGCCAGATAGAATGCCAGATAGAATGCCAGAAGATTTGCCAGATAGAATGCCAGAAAATATGCCAGAAGATATGCCAGATAGATATGCCAGAAGATATGCCAGAAGATATGCCAGATAGAATGCCAGAAGATATGCCCAGATAGAATAGATGAATGCAGAAGATATGTCAGATAGAATGCCAGAAGATATGCCAGATAGAATGCCAGAAGATTTGCCAGATAGAATGCCAGAAGATATGCCAGAAGATATGCCAGATCATATGCCAGAAGATATGCCAGATAGAATGCCAAATAGAATGTCAGAAGATATGTCAGATAGAATGCCAGAAGATTTGCCAGTAAGAAAATGTATAAATGTCATGGTGGGGATCACACGAAGTAAAGTAATTTTAGAATTTTAGATCATTGTAGTCCATTGTAACTAATGTCATGTTTCCCATGAATATTCGAGTCATATGCCATTCATACACCTTGCGGATCTTGGAGGAGCAATGGCAGCCGCCAGCTGGCCAGATCCCCTTCACTGCCGTGGCGGTGGAAACAGCAGCCGCGGAGGGCGAGTGTCCGTGCCGACAGAGTCTGAGAGATTCGTTGGTTACTCGATTGGCTTCAAAGGGACCCATGGGGTTTGTGTGAAAATGGGCGATTTACCCTCTGGTTATGACTAACATTAGCCATGGAAGCCATGGCCCATTGAAATAGATGGTTTACCGGTTTACCGAACTTAATAGCATGATGGATCTTTCCATGGCAAACTGTTAGTCATAACCAGAGGGTATTTGCAAAATCCTTGACAAAAAAATTGACCTATGTGTTTTTTGTTGCGAAAATATGCGAAAATGATATGGTGATTTTTGTTTTGATTAAATTTGAATTTAGGATCGTCAGGATTTTGTAGGTTCGGACAAAGCCAACGTGTTTGTCACTTGGAGAGTAGCCTTACCTGACCCACAAATTGTGGCGATGAGGTCGGCGATTTTCAAGGGAAAGGGCGTCAACTTGGTTGTGGTGACAATTATTGTTAATTGATTTGGTATATGTTGATAATTAAAGTTAAATATTGGTAATCACTGATAACACATGAATAAGATTGATTATTGGGAAACAACATGATTGATTTTAATTATCAAAATATAAAATTGCCAAAAGATATAATGGAACTACAAACATGCAGTAATGGCATGAGATGTTTACCATTTCACAACGTCCTCCCCCATGATGTCAAAATATCAAAAAAGTAATCAGGTTGGCAAATTAACATGATCATCATATCAATCGGAAGACTAGTATCAATCCTTTTCAATCCTTTTCCTCAGGTTGCTTTCCATTAAGATAGCTTATATCCTCTTGGCTAGATTAGATACTGAGCTTCCTGGAAGGTTCCCTTTCCATTCTTGGAGGATCCGACCGGATCCGACAAGATGAAACTCATGGGCCCACTGATGGGCCAAAATCCATGGGGATTTCACTGAGAACTTGTCGTTTTTGTTCACGCTGACCAATTCAAGCTGGTGCCCCGTTATATCGCTGTATCCAATTTTTCACTGGGGTTTATATGGTTGATATGAGAATTACAAACAAACTTATAACTGGAAGGGACCACATGTGAAAAAAAAAAAGGACGTGATTTACTACAAATTGTCCAGATGAGTGGAGGATAGCAACGAACATGGAGCTGTCAACAACCATTGGGATATGTTGATGGAGATGAGGATGAAAAGCGACCAGACTCATCCAACCAGTTGCTTAAAGATGGAAGGTTTTGCCCAAAGGAGACAGGGAGTATAACTACCTTGTCACAATAGTTCTTCAGGGTGGGGATCACTCAAAGAAAGTAATTTCGCATAAAAACTCCATTATATGGGATTGCCCATGTTTTTCCCCATGTTTTTTCCCATGTTTTTCCCATGTTTTTTCCCATGTTTTTCCCATGTTTTTCCCATGTTTTTCCCATTGAAATCTCCATTTACTTCGGGGCTTTCCCACGTTTTTTATTCCACCAGAGGTTGTCACCCCAGAAATCTTCACCCCTTGCTTCGGGACTCGTTGAGGCGAAGCTCTGCGGTGAGATGCCGCTCGGTGGCGCGTTAACCGGGGGTTCGTTGCGTAACAGAAATCGTCGGATTCGGATTGGTCCGCAGCCTCTGGTAAACTCACATGGCTATGGATCAATACCTATAGATACCATTTTTAGTGGGATGAACATCCATTTACCAGCTATTTTGGGGTTCACTAGGTACCAGGGTTTTGACCCATCCCCACATAGCTACGGAAAATCACCATGTTCAATAGGTAAATGATGGTAAATGAACTATACATGAGCCATGTTCAATAGCTATTTTGACATAACCAGAGGGTAATCTCTTGAACATCTTTGAATTATCTACAGGTATTGGATCATGGCAATTGTAACCATAGAACAGATGCTTAGTAAGCCCTTCTTATGACTGATTGCAACATGTTGCACATATATATATATATACATATGTATGACATGGTGTGTAAATGTGTATGTATGTGTGTTATAGACTATAGACATCAAAATGATGTAGAACATGACATATGTGTTTCGTATACATACTTTGGACGGTTGCGAAATCCTGCGCTAGGATTTTACCTGGTAAATCCAAATAATAAATAATCCTGAATAGAGGTTTACTAGTAATCTACCCCTATTTGGGATGTGAAAATATGTAACATGATTTGTGGAAACAACATTTTACATAAAAAACATAGAATGTGTGATAATTGTTCATGAACATTACGCAAGGTTGTGAATTATGATATACTATTTCAAGAACTATGTTTCTATAGCGATATATAATTTGTGCGCAAGTGTTTTCTGTACCTTGGAATGTTCATGTACTGGATATGCATGCATGAATAATATATATATACACATATGTATATATACGTATATGTATATACATATTTGAAGTAGTATCAAAAACATCCCAAACAAAAATAGCACCAACCCCAATTCAATTATATTGAAGCGCTTATCCTAGATACCATCATGTTTATGGTTAATCCCAACTATATCGCCCTTAAACTTATCCCAACTGGATCATGTTCATCCCATGTTTGCCATCTTGCCGAGGGTATGTGGGTTATATTCCCACAAATTGGCAATATGGGAAATGGCACATTTATAGATGATTTTCCCAGCTAGAAACCTCCATTTATTAGGGATTTTCCATGGCTATGTTAAATAACCAGATGGTATGGCAAAAAAAACATCCATCTTACTTATATTGAACTCGGCTATGTCCCAAATATTCCCTGTATGACAATGATGATTATAGCAAATTTACATGACCATGAACATAAGATTGTGGCTGATGATAAAGCATAACTTGATTATCAGATAGATAATGGTTACAAACAAATTTCACAGTATTACATTAGTATTATAACATGTCAATAAAATCATCTATTGTATCCATAATCAGCTCATATTTCAAGTGATCACAACTTGTTGGTGGTTTGGAACATGTGGATTATTGGTCCATTCAGTCTCAGTTGGGAATGTCAGCACATCCCAACTGACGAACTCCATGACTTTTCAGAGGGGTAGGTCAACCACCAACCAGTTAAGTAACTAAGTATGATAATCAATGGGATTAAACTAAACCATATTAAACCATATTAACCATATATAGGGTTGAAACCACCAACCAGTTAAGTATTCCAACAATGATCGCGGGCACTCGGCAGGAAACGTGACCTGGACAGTGATCTGGGTGCCTTTGAATTGCCAGACGTCCAGGCGTTGATGGAGACCTATGAGAAGCAGGCGCGACGGGGAACTAGGGAACACCAACCCCAAAATATATCACTATAAATAGGTGAATAAAATGGTAGGTAGGCTTATCATTGGATTTTTTTGGGTTTAGCACATTATCATCAAAGGAAGTTTAGGGGGAGAAACTTCCGTGTTACGGACTTTTAGAATGTCAGGGAAAGAGTTAGTCAAAGAAAGAGTTAGTGAGGGAAAGAGTTAGTCAAACAAAGAGGTAGTCAAAGAAACAGTTAGTCAGGGAAAGAGTTAGTCAAAGAAAGAGTTAGTCAAACAAAGAGTTAGTCAAAGAAACAGTTAGTCAGGGAAAGAGTTAGTCAAAGAAAGAGTTAGTGAGGGAAAGAGTTAGTCAAAGAAAGAATTAGTCAAAGAAACAGTTAGTCAGGGAAAGAGTTAGTCAAAGAAAGAGTTAGTGAGGGAAAGAGTTAGTCAAAGAAAGAGTTAGTCAAACAAAGAGTTAGTCAAAGAAACAGTTAGTCAGGGAAAGAGTTAGTCAAAGAAAGAGTTAGTGAGGGAAAGAGTTAGCAAAGAAACAGTTAGTCAAAGAAAGAGTTATCAAAGAAACAGTTAGTCAGGGAAAGAGTTAGTCAAAGAAAGAGTTAGTGAGGGAAAGAGTTAGTCAAACAAAGAGGTAGTCAAAGAAACAGTTAGTCAGGGAAAGAGTTAGCAAAGAAACAGTTAGTCAAAGAAACAGTTAGTCAGGGAAAGAGTTAGTTAAAGAAAGAGTTAGTCAAAGAAAGAATTAGTCAAAGAAACAGTTAGTCAGGGAAAGAGTTAGTCAAAGAAAGAGTTAGTGAGGGAAAGAGTTAGTCAGGGAAAGAGTTAGTCAAAGAAAGAGTTAGTGAGGGAAAGAGTTAGCAAAGAAAAGCGTTAGTGAGGGAAAGAGTAGTCAAACAAAGAGTATCAAAGACAGTTAGTCAGGGAAAGAGTTAGTCAAAGAAAGAGTTAGAGGAAAGAGGTAAGCAAAGAAAACAGTTGTCAAAGAGCGGAGAGTTAGTCAAAGAAACAGTTAGTCAGGGAAAAAGTTAGTCAAAGAAAGAGTTAGTCAAAGAAAGAGTTAGTCAAAGAACAGTTAGCCAGGGAAAGAGTTAGTCAAAGAAAGAGTTAGTCAGGGAAAGAGTTAGTCAAAGAAAGAGTTAGTGAGGGAAAGAGTTAGTCAAAGAAAGGGTTAGCAAAGAAACAGTTAGTCAGGGAAAGAGTTAGTCAAAGAAAGAGTTAGTGAGGGAAAGAGTTAGTCAAAGAAAGAGTTAGTCAAACAAAGAGTTAGTCAAAGAAACAGATAGTCAGGGAAAGAGTTAGTCAAAGAAAGAGTTAGTGAGGGAAAGAGTTAGCAAAGAAACAGTTAGTCAGGGAAAGAGTTAGTCAAAGAAACAGTTAGTCAGGAAAAGAGTTAGTCAAAGAAAGAGTTAAAACTCTAGGATCGTTCCCTCACTGTAAATGGCATTGCAAGTGGTGCTGGTGGAGGAGTTGCCGATGGAGTTTTGGAGGAAGTCTCGCACGAAATGCGTTTTTGAGAGATAGCAGATGCACGAAACCCGATGTTTTTCCATACAAAGTCCGTCCCCGAACCTCGATGATCTACCTCTGCGGTGCGACGGGTGCGAGACGGTCTCGTGTGTGGTCGGATCATGCTCGGATCATTCTCGGGTCGGTTCCGCATTGTAAATGGGGTTTCAACTGTTTTTCGTGCATGGGTGGTCGACAGAATTCCATTGTGATTTGCAACTGTAGGATCGTTCCCGCAATGTAAATGGGGTTGCAAGTGGTGCTGGTGGATGAGTTGCCGATGGAATTCCATTGTGATTTGCAACTCTAGGATCGTTCCCTCACTGTAAATGGGATTGCAAGTGGTGCTGGTGGATGAGTTGCCGATGGAGTTTTGCAGAAAGTCTCGCACGAAATGCGTTTTTGAGAGATAGCAGATGCAAGAAACCCTATGTTTTTCCATACAAAGTCCGTCCCCGAACCTCGATGATCTACCTCTGCGGTGCGACGGGTGCGAGACGGTCTCGTGTGTGGTCGGATCATCCTCGGATATTCTCGGATCGGTCTCGGATCGGTTCCGCATTGTAAATGGGGTTTCAACTGTTTTTCGTGCATGTGTGGTCGACAGAATTCCATTGTGATTTGCAACTGTAGGATCGTTCCCGCATTGTAAATGGGATTGCAAGCGGTGCTGGTGGATGAGTTGCCAATGGAATTCCACTGTGATTTGCAACTGTAGTATCCTTCCCGCAATGTAAATGGGATTGCAAGGTTGCTTCCTGCTTTGGCTGCAAACGTAATACTATTGTTTTTTGCAGCTGGACTTCGTAAATCGTATTGGAGTGGCTGCATGAAGGCTGCGACAGTGATTTGTCAGCAGATTTTCTCCATTTTGGCGCTAGTGATTTTCCTTCTAAAAATCCTTTTAAAAAGTGCTTCAAAATCGTCTTTTTTTCGCTCTGGCGTCGAGAGCCGGTTTTGGAGCTACAATTTCTGACGCCGTTGCGCGTAGTTCTATTGTGTTTTGCAACTCAGTCTCTGCAGATCGCATTGTAATGGCTGCGTCAAGGTTGCTTCGTGCTGTGGCTGCATTTGTCATACTATTGTCTTTTGCAGCTCGACTTCGTAAATCGTATTGGAGTGGCTGCATGAAGGCTGCGACAGTGATTTGTCAGCAGATTTTCTCCATTTTGGCGCTAGTGATTTTCCTTCTAAAAATAATTTTAAAAAGTGCTTCAAAATCGTCTTTTTTTCGCTCTGGCGTCGAGATCTGGTTTTGGAGCTACAATTTCCGACGCCGTTGCGCGTAGTTCTATTGTGTTTTGCAACTCAGTCTCTGCAGATCGCATTGTAATGGCTGCGTCAAGGTTGCTTCGTGCTGTGGCTGCATTGGTAATACTATTGTCTTTTGCAGCTCGACTTCGTAAATCGTATTGGAGTGGCTGCATGAAGGCTGCCACAGTGATTTGTTAGCAGATTTTCTCCATTTTGGCGCTAGTGATTTTCCTTCTAAAAAACCTTTTAAAAAGTGCTTCAAAATCGTCTTTTTTTCGCTCTGGCGTCGAGATCCGGTTTTGGAGCTACAATTTCCGACGCCGTTGCGCGTAGTTCTATTGTGTTTTGGAACTCAATCTCTGCAGATCGCATTGTAATGGCTGCGTCAAGGTTGCTTCGTGCTGTGGCTGCATTGGTAATACTATTGTCTTTTGCAGCTGGATCTCGTAAATCGTATTGGAGTGGCTGCATGAAGGCTGCGACATGGATTTGTTAGCAGATTTTCTCCATTGTGACCTTAGATACTATGACAAAGACTACTTTGACAATGACCGTTGTGGCTGTAACTGTAGTGACAATGAGTATTGTAACTGTTTGGACTGGCCCCTTTTTAGGTAATGACAGTGGAAGTAGAAGTGACGGCATTAGTGTCCCTGGTTGTGGCTTCAGTAGTAATGTTAGACGTCGGTCGGTTATGGCTCACAGAAACAGACATGATGTTTGTTGCCTACGCATGTGTTATGGGTAACAGAAACAGACATGATGTGTTTTTGGTACATATGCATTCGAGAAATGCCATTGCTAACACATGTTTCTGCTTCAAGTAATTGAGAAAGAATTGTTTTGGACATGTGAGCAACTTGTGGTTCCACTGTTCGTTCGGTGTTTTGGCCCGCGGACATGATTATTGTCTTAGATCATAAGGATGTGAATCTCACCATTATTCTTGTTTTAGAGCAGCAACTCGTAGTCTTCTCACAGGCCTTGCATGCGGGTATGCAGTTAGGTGCTGCCTGTGTGACACATGTTGTCTGTGAGGACAGGGTCGCACATGCCACTCTTGCAGAAGCCCAACGTGGTTTAAGTGATTAATTACCATTGTCCGATCCCTGTAGTTCACCACTACAACCACGTGGCCTCTCACAAGACACGCACGCGGGTATGCAATTATGTGCTGCCTGCGTCGCACATGTTATCTTTGAGGATGGGACGCAGACGCCACGGTTGCACAAGCCAAGCGTAGTTTAAGTAATAAATTCCCATAGTCCGATCCCTGTAATTCACCACTATAACCACTTGACTTTGCACAGGCATTGGATGGCCATGTGTTGTGCATGACGTGCTGGTCGCTGATGGGTCAAGGACACCATCAGCGATTGGGATCGACTCTCGCTTGACTGCCAAGGGCTGGGTGTGCGTTGTTATGAACCGCATCCGAGTTTGAATTGCTGTCCTTCAGTAGATTCGCCTTTCATTTAGCCTTGCGAACCGCAGAATGCCTCTGTCGCTTGCTTTTGGTTTATGTGTGCGTTGTTACGAACCGCACAAACAACCATGATCGTATTGCATACATGTGAAAAACAAAGCTGTCATGGGAGCGAGTCAATGCAAGCTCTCACTGAGATCCTCTCAATGCCTTGTGCAGCATGGGTTGGAGTTTTGTGGTTTGTTGAATGTATGACTTTCTGGGCCATTTTTTTTTCAGACATCAGACCCAAAGCCCTATGATTTTCTCCATTTTGGCGCTAGTTTTTTTTGGTTGCACGTAAGTTTAGAGCAGTTGGACGTGTGGGGCGTGAAGTGTGGAGTGTGAAGTTTAAGTGTGGAGTGCGAAGAGCGCAGTGTGAAGTGTGAAGTGTGAAGTGTGAGGTTTGGAGTGTGAAGGAAGCAGTGGGAAGTGTGAAGTGTGGACTGTGAAGTGTGAAGTGTGAGTGAAGTGTGGAGTGTGAAGTGCGAAGTGAGAAGTGTGAAGTTTGGAGTGTGAAGTTTGGAGTGGGAAGGAAGCAGTGAGAAGTGTGAAGTGTGGACTGTGAAGTGTGGAGTGTGAAGTGCGAAATGAGAAGTGTGAAGTTAGGAGTGTGAAGGAAGCAGTGAGAAGTGAGAAGTGTGAAGTGATGACTGTGAAGTGTGGAGTGTGAAGTGCAAAGTGAGAAGTGTGAAGTGTGAAGTGTGAAGTTTGGAGTGTGAAGGAAGCAGTGAGAAGTGAGAAGTGTGAAATGTGGAGTGTGAAGTGTGAAGTGTGAAGTGCGAAGTGAGAAGTGTGGAGTGTGAAGTGTGAAGTGTGAAGTGTGGACTGCGAAGTGTGAAGTGTGAAGTGTGGACTGTGAAGTGTGAAGTGTGAAGTGTGGACTGTGAAGTGTGAAGTGTGAAGTGTGGACTGTGAAGTGTGAAGTGTGCAGTGTGAAGTGTGAAGGAAGCAGTGAGAAGTGAGAAGTGTGGAGTGTGAAGTGTGGAGTGTGAAGTTTGAAGTTTGAAGTGCGAAGAGTGCAGTGTGCAGTGTGAGGTGTGGAGTGTCGAGGGAAGGACACGGTCGGGACAGGTTGTCTTTGAACTATAGGTCTTCCGCCGCCGGCTTGCCCGGGTCTATGTTATATATGATGTTGTGATATGTTTTTGAATATAGACAGACTGATAGCTAGAGATCATATAGATCATATAGATTATATCGATTATATCGATTAGATAGATAGATAGATAGATGGATGGATGGATGGATGGATGGATAGATGGATAGATGGATAGATTGGATAGATAGATTGATTGATTTGATTTGATTAGATTAGATTAGATTGGATAGATAGATAGATAGATAAATAGATAGATATATATAGCTAGATTAGGATGAATTGTACTTATAACTCTTAGATTCTGCATTAGATATAGTTCTATAGATTAGCTATATTAGATAATATTAGATAGATTGATGTCTCCAAATAGTGACATAGGCACTAATCTAGGTCTCTCGCTCAATATATAGTGCGAGATACTACAAGATTATACAGCTACTTCATAATCCACACATAGATAGTTTGAGTTGATTGATTGAATTATAGAAGTAGATCGATAGATCGATAGATAGATAGATTAGATTAGATTAGATAGATTAGATTAGATTATATAGATAGATTAGATTAGATAGATTAAAAAACAATAGATTAGATAGATTAGATTAGATAGATTAGATAGATTAGATAGATTAGATAGATAGATAGATTAGATTAGATAGATTAAATAGATTAGATTAGATAGATTAGATAGATTAATTAGATAGATAGATAGATAAATAGATAAATAGATAGATAGATAGATAGGTAGATAGATAGATAGGTATATAATAGATAGATAGGTAGATCGATAGATCGATAGATCGATAGATCGATAGATAGATCGATAGATAGATAGATAGACAGACAGACAGATAGACAGATAGACAAACAGACAGACAGGCAGATAGATAGACAAACAGACAGATAGATTTTCATCTCCCCACACTAACACTTGCCTTTGTTTTTGATTTCAATTATAATATACATATAATTATATATATATATACATTGTATGATATATATATATATATGATTATATATGTATTTATATGTATATATATATATTGTATAATGTATTATATATATATATATTGTATGATTTTTTATATATATACACAGTATACATAGCGATGCAAACATCCTATTTTCAAGGACGTTGGAAAGATTTAAGGAACTTCATTTTGATCCAAAAACTACCACCACCCGAAAATGTCTATGATCATTGTTGGGTGCGACCTTGTTGGTCGACCTGATTGTGGGGATGGTTGGTTTTTTTTTGTGATCCATGGGTACTGGCAGTTGATGAATTTCGCTGAAAATGCAGAATGTTTAAAAACCTAGGAGAAAATGCAGTTGAGAAACACACTTCTGATGGATATTCTTGTTGATGCGTCGTGCATTTGCTGAACTTAATAAACATCCTATCACCATAGAAATGGGTTCGAATGCAAGAGACCTTTGCTGTAAACCTGAGTGTAGCCAAGAAACCTTGAGTGTTCCTAGAAGTTGTCATGTTACAACAAGACAATTTACCGTTGGCAATTGGGCTGAACCGCCTGATAATTGGGACAATAGTTGTATTGAAAGGTTTATTATAAGTAACATCAAAAGATATATCCCCAGCAAGTACAACCCCTTTCAACTTTCATGCAGCCTGAAGATTCCCCGGGCCCAGGCTGTAAGTGAGCTTCGCCAACAACTCAAAGAGATCGTTGGGAACCTCTCGCTGGAGGTGAGGCCCTCTGTCCCCATGGCTGGTGTTGGTTTTTCTGGTTTTTCAGCCGCTGACTACCCAACCTGGTTATGACTGACATAGCCATGGGTTAAGCCATGGCCCTAATCGAAATAGATGGCCCTAATCGAACTTAAAGATGGTGGATCTTTCCATGGCGAACTGTTAAATAACCAGATTGTATAATGTATGGTACCCATAGGATCCATGGTGCTGCTATATATGGTGCTCCATGGATCCCATCAACAAAAACCCCCTTTATGTTAGCATTAATATACCAGCACCATGGCTGCCCGGCCCGTGGCAGCCCGGAATAAGATGAATAAAGTGAAGAGATCATGACGTGTCCCGGCATTTCCTGACCCAATGATTGAAAGCTGGTTGGTGGTGACTGGAACCATGGAATTTTGAATGACTTTCCAGAAACAGTTGGGAATGTCAGCACCTCCCAACTGACTTTCACTCCATGAGTTTTCAGAGGGATAGGTATACCACCAACCAGATAAGTAACTAAGTATATGATAATCAATGTATGATAATCAATGGGATTAAATAATCTAAACCATACTAACATATACTAACCATATATATCCATATATAGGGTAGGTTGAAACCAACCAGAAAGGTTTGTTTCCCAGCTACCATCAGCTCCCCAGGGGTCATTGCACCGCCAGGTGGATCCGAGCTGCGAAGCAGCCCCAGCGGTGCTGGCACCGAGGGGATGGGAACAGGTTTCACCCACAAAATGGGTGGAGAAGCACACATGGGTCTGCTTGAAAATAGGTTATGCCTATCCCATAGGATCCATGTATGCTATATATGCTATATATATCCAACCAATGACAGAATATGGGTATGGGTCAATACCTATAGATACATGTTTAGTGGGATGAACATCCATAAATCCCAGCTATGAATTGGGGTTCACGGCACGGTACCAGGGTTTTGACCCATCCCGACATGGGTCTGCTTGAAAATAGGTTCTGCCTATCCCATGACGGATCCAAACGGTGCTGCTATATTAATGCTAACATTGATTGGGGGTTTTTGTTGATGGGATCCATGGAGCACCATTAATATAGCAGCACCGTTAGGATCCGTCATGGCTATAGGTGTACCGACTCTAAATTTGCCGGAGAATGATGATGGACCAATGGGTCAGTACAACCAACTTCCAATTTCACCAATGCGACTCAGACTACGTATATAGAAGGGACATTTAATCATATTGAATAAACCCTTTAGTTTTTCCACCTTGAGTATGCAGCTCAACTACTGCAGCTGTATTTGATATGGTTCTCACATTGAAGATTCACCATGCGACCATCTGGGTGATCCTTGTTGAGGTATGGGTGCGACTGGATTGGAATCCCTCTGGTCGAGCCACACAATTCTTCCGTCGCGTGCGTTCCGAGGAGTGAGTCGGGTAGAGTTGGGAGCTCTAGGTGCAGCTTTTACCCCGGTACCAAAATGTGAAAGAAATGGCATTCAGTATCTCCAAATCGAGAAAAAGCGGATGTGTCTGAAAAAAACCGGGAGAGTACCCCCCAATTTGATGTTTTATGCGGGATTATCCAATGTTTCTAAGCGCGGTTTTGACGAAATCACTTCGAAACGTCATTCATTTTTGGCCGCGGGGTTATCGGTTCAAGGTTCCAAGGTGTTCCAACCCGTCTTTGGCCCTCCAAAAACCAAGTGAAAAACCGTGGATGTTTGCATCTATGTCATCATCCTGAAGTACCCTGTGGTAAACTAACATAGCTATGGAAAATCACTATTTTTAATGGGTAAATCCACTATAAATGGCCATTTTCAATAGCTATGTTAGTTTACCAGAGGGTAGATTGAGCACGAACACGTCAGAGGATTCCTCATAATTTTACCATTTCTGATGGTGAAAAGCTGGCAACCTTTTGATCAAAATTATGATGGCAGGTGCGCAGGCGATCTCCAAGGCCATTTTTCGAACGTCTCTGTAAATTCCTTGCAAGTTCCCTTGTTCATTTGGGTTTGTCTGAAAATAGTGTACCCCTAAACCCAATGGTTAATGATCATTATCCCTATTAAATGGCTATAATTGGGAATATACCCTATTTTCAGACAAACCCATTTGTCTACTTTGCTGTGTGTAGATGCGAACTTCGGTTGAATTGCAGGTTCAAACATGACTTGTGGCAATTGAGACACGTGTCAGCAGCATCAGGTGGCAAGTTTCGTTCTCATAGCAAGTTCCAGGCAACTGGGGGCCACAATGAAGAAGCAGACTTTCCATATGTCCATTGATATTCAGAAGCGGGCCAAGTACATGTCAGATTGGGTAGCGCTCGGTTTGAGCTTTGCCAAACCTTTCCGGCGCCATGGCGGCCGCCTATGCCTGGCTTAAGAAGACTCGGCAACAAATTTCGTGGGTTCTGGGATTTCTACCTTCGCCTTCTTACTTCTGCCTTGTCCGCAGAAGCTGAGGAGATGCGCAAAGAAGGATCGGAAGGCTTGCAGGGCATCCTTGGACCGGATACCTTGAGAGCAAGGCCTGTGCCAAGAAGCTGAGGAGATGCGCAAAACAGCATTGGAAGGCAGCATGAAAAATGTTGCCGATGGTTTGCGAGAGGAAGGCCGCTGGCAAGAAGCTGAGGAGATGCACGGAAAAGCATTGGAAGGTCCTTGGGCCAGACATGGCCAGACCATCCGGATACCTTGAACAGCCTGTGGGATCTGGGTGTTTGCCAGCAGAGACAGGTCGCAGCGACTGCAGGGCATTTCAGGGTTGCGCATTTGAAGGATCCGTCTTTTCATCAGAAGCGAATTGAAGAGGCTGCGATCATTGAGAGATCAATAATTACTTCTCAGGTGCACATGGCTGCAGACCATCATCTGCGCCGCCAAATCGCACGGAGGAGGAGCTGGGCAATGCTGCTGATTCAATTTGGCCAGCCAAATGACGTTGAGAAGGCAGTGGCAATCCTACGCCAGCTCGCCCCCCTCGTACTCCGCTTGCGGCCAGGGGGTCGGTCGCAAAAGGCTGTCGAAGCCTTGGTTTCTCTCCTCGAAGAGCTTGGTGAATCCGAGGAAGCTGAAGACTGGTGGCAGCGGCTTGTTGAGTTTCGGCCAGGAAGTGCAGCAGAGGGGGAGCTTTCGACAGTCCCAGGCTCTGAGGCAAGTGAGGATTTACCAAGCTCTTCTGAAAACCAAGCTGTTAGCAGACGGCTGTTGTGTTGGAGAAAAAAAATGAAGATATCGTGGAACATGAAAAGCATGTTTTCCCCTTTAATTTGGGCCGCACAGCTTGCAGCAGCCAGCAGAATAAGAATATAGAAGTGCAGAGTGAGGGCCTCACACCCAGATATCTTCCAGCGACGCCCGGTGCCAGCAAATCCTGAGGAACATGCAGGCGCTGAAAGCAGACTCATGGTCTGAGGCTGCTTCAGACCGAAAGCGCCGAGTTTTGAGGAGAAAATGGCAGCTTTTTCGTTGGTGCTGCGGAGGGCTTATAAAGTCACTCTGACTGGCTGATGCGCTTCAATGTAGTGGCGAAGCGAGGCAGAACAGCATTGCCAAGCAGTTTTTTTGGCTAAGAGATGTTTTGTTTTGGGCTTGGCAGCCTGTTTACTTTTTGTTTCACCTTGTTGCTTCGGCGGGCTCTCCGGATTGTCACCTGGAGTCCTGCCAGATGCCAGATATCTAAGAGCGTTTTTTTGGTAAAACCCATAGCCATAGCCTAAACTTCATATCGCAATCGGTGCAGTGACTTTGTCAAGGCCGGGTTGCCTTTTGAGGCTTCCGTCGACAGGATGCTGTCCCTATTTTGCTTCCCTTGGGATGCCCTGGATCTCCAATTTCATACAGTTTCATCCAATTTCCATGCTCCTATTTTTGATATTTTTGTAGTGCCGCAATGAAACTCTAAAATCCGAGGGTGTCACCTTTTGCTGAGGCGACACCAGTCCCAACTTGAACGTCTGGGGTTCTTCGCCACCTGGTGGCGCTTGTACTTTTGGCCTCGAATTCCGAGGCTGCACGTAGGTTGGTTTCAGGAGCCTCTAGCACCCAGCCAGCCAGAAAAAGAATGCAGTGCTTTGCGGGCACGGCTACCGGTGAATGGAATGGCACACTTGAGTTGACACGTGGTCAGAATGGATAAGATCCATGGGTGTAATCATGCCTGTTGCTCAGCCAAGTGCAACACGGACACATGCAACACTTTGTAGCGGGTGGACTTTGTAGCCAGATTGCCTGTCTCATCCCTCACCTCGCAACCCCGAATTTGCTTCACAGCACTGTTGCTCCGAAGTTCTGGCCTGTTGGTTGCTGCGTGCATTTGGACCTTAGACAGCGTTCCCAGGCCACCCAAGTTGATGGATAGCAGGCATCGAACATACATATCCATATTTCCAAGGTGGTGTCACATAGTTTCCTGAGTTGGTTGATAAGTAGGTGAAGTAGGGTCTATGGCAGATAGGGGGCACCACTTGTACTTTAGGGTGACCAACCCTTGAGGACACCAGCGTGGTATGGACGCGACCAATGCCACCCGACATCGTGTTGGAGCTCGACGAGATCAGGTGTACTTGGGAATGCGGTTGCAGCTAGGATCATGATCCCTTTTTTTCTCAATCAGAAAGCAGAGATCATTGGTTTGGTGAGATACGTTACAAAAGGTAGTCATGTTGAGAATATGCTGGTGAACGATAGCAATTGTGATTGTACCACAGCCCCAAAATGAACAAACAAGTTGGAAATCTGGGAATTAAGGGAAAAATATGCTATACCATCCTTTTTGTTGGCATGTTTCTGGGGCCCTCTCTAGTCGATTCGAAATGGAAGATTCAGCAGAAGCTGGAACAGCAACCGAGGTCATGGGTCACGGGATTGGGATGAAACCACCAACAATTCTCACAGCCAAAAGATTGCCATACCAAATACATTTTTTGGTAACTCCAAAAAGATGGAAACGTGATTCATCGTGATATATGTTTGTAGGATTTTATGTTTTTATCTTTGTGTGGCTACAAAAATCAGAATTGCTCCAGTCCATTATATGTACATGATAGCCACAAAGGGTAACATGTTGCGACCCCCCAAAATCATGTGCGAAGAATCCCAAGGAAAAATCTCTCTCACGGCCATTTGTGCTTTCGGATTCTGCTCTCTGGTTGTGGGGGGTCATAGTGCCCGCCCACTGGGGATCGTTTTTTACAAATCGCGGCAAACACTGGCAAAACAGGCAATATATGCAGGGTTTCCAGGTAATTTAAGAGATTTTTTGTCCCCCCAAAAAAAGCCTCCAAAATTGGTGGTTCCGCGTCGCAAAAACGTTGCGCAGCTTGCGGTTGGACAGCTTCAAGATGAAGGTGCAAACCTTGGTCTCGCAGTTCTCAGAGGAGGTCGGAAACCAAGGGATGGAGACTGGAAAGTATACGGGGAGGATGGGGCACTTGCGGACCCTCCAAGTACCCATAAGTACCCATAAGAATTGGTAAAAGTGCTACAATATTGGGGCACAATACAATTTCTCAAGGGTACTTGGAGGGTTTCGGTATAATATGTTATGTATATTCATGAATATGTTTAACTTGATTTGCCTTCAATAAGTGAATTGTTGTCGGCAGATTTCAGGTAAAAAAAATGACATCATCATTTTGAACCTGGATTTACAAACCAGGTCGGTTGACCACCACATGAACCTATGGTCATGGCTATGGTCCAAGTTTGTACAAAGCAGTCTCCAAAGAGGCATCCAGTGCCAGTGCACAAAAACTGGACCACACATCGTTTTTCCTTTAATGGTTAGGTTTCTGCTTTCAAGACGGTTTCGCCCCTCGAATTTGTATGATCGTTGGGGCAGATACTTAACAACTACATCTATAAACATACGTATATACATATATAATTATATATATATGATTATATATATATATATATAGGAAATTAAGATATCATTGGTTATCATTGTTTATTAGTAACTGAAGTGATCACAAAATGTTCCTTGCGTATGTGATGGTGGGCTGGGATTGGTTCACCCAGCTCAAATATATACAAATGTACATATACACATACATATACATATACCTATACATATACGTTCACATACACATATCACATATATATATATAATATAATATAATATATATACTATATAATATATATAATATATACTATATATAGCACCTACTTGTTTAAAATGTAAAACATCATTTCATACCAGTGATTTTCAGAGTTGTCTAGCTGTAACTGCTGTATATGATACACCTCCCATTGGCTGAGGTCACTCAGAGCTTTGAAGCTTCGTCCTGCAGGCGCCTCACCAGGCCCTTAGTTATAGCAGGTTTAGGAGCACTGAGCAGCCCATGAAAATGGCAGGTTTATAGGGGGCCCAGTAGGGGGCCCCAAAGATTCTAAGATAGCGTTCAGTTGAGATATTTCAGTGGCTGAATTCTATGGTCTATAGTAGATATTTTTAGTGGTGATGAATTGTGGGAGGGTTTTTGAAATTGGGTTTACCACGTCAATATATTCGTATATATGGTTACTATATGATATATAGAATATGTATGATCATACTGATGTTGGTGAAGCCCAGTTAATGAACGTTATCATTGTAGGTTAACATGTGTTGAACTTGATGGTGAATGGTGAACAACGGATGTGTTTCACTTTTTGGAGCCATGATTGTAAATTGAAGATAGTTCAAATACGAAGCTAAAGATTATCTGGCTGTTTTTTGCAGAGTATCTAGGTTTGACCATGGTCCGGTGTCCACAGAAGCCTCGTGGGTTGGATTTGTTGATGTTAGGCTTGGCAGTCCCGTTCTCTTTTTGGGAAGATGATCGTCTAGTCGATATATTCTGTTCACCGGGGTAATTCTCACTGATAGGAAAGGTTTGAACATGTTTGAACTATGTCTCAAGGGCGGATTTCACCAGCCAAAATGGAGGGGCTGCAGCCAGAAACTTGGTGCCGTCATGTTTTTGTGTTTTCCGTCCCTATGAATTTTGGTTAGATTCTGGATTTGTGTGTCGGGTGATCAAAATCAACATTGTGATGATGCGGATCAAGAAAGATCATTGAGGATTGTGGGCAATTATCATTCATGATATTCATGGTTTCATGTGAAGATCAATGTGCAATCCTTGCAACTAGTAGCATCACGACTTACACAAATATGTTTAAATATGGAACAAACACTCGCGTATTTGTAGTTGGCAGCTGGTGAGTTCAGTAGTGGGTGGTTTCAACTGGTTGATCCCCCGTTCTTTCCCAGTTGAAATCCTATAAAAAGCCGTCGGGCACTGGACAGGAACAGCTCCGCGGGCTCTGGAGATGGTGCGGCTTCGACTGAAGTTGAACGGGTGGCTATGGAAAATGACCCATTTTGATGCTTTACCATTTCAGCATGGTAATTTTCCATGGCGTTAGATTACCCAAGGGCACCATTTTGTTTTTCGCGAATTTGCATGCCTCTCTTGGTTTCTGATACAGTGACCATGTTCACTTGTGGGTCTGATGGCCATATTTCCTTCCAAAATGAAGATACCTTGCCTGGCAGGTATTTTATGAGTGTTTCTGGGAAATGATGGGTGTGGTTCTCCAACATTGGGAAGGTGTTCAGATTGGAACTGGTTGAAGAGGACAAAGATGGCGGATGACTATGGTGTTGAGGCTGTTTTAGGTGTAATCCGCAAGTACCGCCTGATCATATGCTGACTCTAAGTCCTCAAAGGCATATTGGCTCTGTCGCAAAATGGAGTGTTTTGGGTAACCCATACCTCCAAATTGGACAATCAGGAAATTTCACACATCGTCCAATTCCACGATGAGTTTCAAGGAATGATAGGCTGATAGGTTTCCGCTGTGTCAGGGTTTCGGAAGCAGCTTACCTGAGGCTTCGGAGCAATTTTGGCACCTGTCTCACGGCACGGAAGACCGGGGTGAATGATTGTAACCATATTTATCAAAATGAATCGGGGGGACCAAATGTTAATTACATGTCATTATCGTTTTTAGTGGTAACCCCCCAAATCAGGATAGGTCAGGGTTGAACCAAATTGATAGCAAGCCTGGCTTCTCATGTCCAGGTAGGGGCGTCCTGTTTGGGTAGGGGCAGAAGCGCAAAACCTGGTTTAACTACGTTTAAAGTACTGGTTATGTTTATATATATATATATTATATACATATGTTTATAGATTATGTTTAACTCGATGATTCTCGGCAGAAAAAGCCTAGTATTTGTTTTGAACAAATCTGGGGTTTCAGTTTTTGTTAGCCAGTAATTTGGCCTTAAGATACCATAATTTCCCATTTCCCGCAATTTGCCCGGAATTTCCGTTATTTTTCCTGTAGTTTACCGTAACTAAGAGCCTTGGTGGGAAAAACAAGTGTGAATTTATACATAATTACTGTATTTATACTGTTTTCAAGAAAGTGAAGAAAAACACAAGTTTTTTACGGAGGCCGTTTGTCTATTGGAACACCTGGACCCTCCAAAACACAAGAATCGGCAGGTCGGCCGCTAATTCTGATATTGCCAACTGTGATATGGGTCAAGCCATTGCGTATCCGAAACACGGATGGCTAAATACTAAGCAATGATCAATGTTTGTAGAACCAGTATCTCTTGATTTGACCAATGATCATACGGTGTTTCTCGAAAATGGGGGACCCCAGAACCGTGGTTTTCCCACTTTAAATTGACATTTGTTTTGATGATTTGAGGATATCCCATTCTGGGAACTCCCTATAGCAAGTCCCAAAAGAACAGAATAGTGAAATATACTGGTAAATTTTCAAGTAAATTAGAAATGACGATCTATTCCCCATAGGATCCATGTATGGTATAATGCTATTAGGGGTATATTGATGGTAAATGTTACCATATATACCATACATGGATCCTATGGGTTTGGTGATTACAACAACCTGATGGAATTTTAAGGCTGCACCAACATGTTTTTGGCCTCCCATCCCATCATCCCATCCGACGAGACTCTGAGGCCCGAGGCTGCAACCGACACGGATGCCGCTGGGCAACAGCAGGAGAGTCGTAACTCGTGCAGCAGGAGTCGGCTCCGTGAAACGTTGGATAAAAACCTTCGGACTTTTTTGAGGCCACGGAAAATCACCACTGAAAATAATGGGTTAAATTATATAATATTGATAATAAATGGAGCCATTGTCTTTATTGCTACATCAGCAAAGCGGGAGTTGATATATGATTTGATGGGATATGGGGAGTGTTGATTGTTGATAGATATAGCCAGCACATCAGAATGGCCTGCCAAGAGACCTATGCTGGGATGACCAAAAGGTGGTGACACGGGATTCCTGGCGTTTCAACATATGTTGAATGGCATGAGATGGCATGAAATGGGAACATGGAAGTTGCGTTTTACGTGTTAAACATCTTTGAACATATTAAAAATTACGGGATATGAAATGATAAAATCAGTTAGTTTGAACTGTTTCACCATGATCTTCTGGGATATGGTGGAAAATATCATGGCTCAACTTGACCTTGGAATCCTTGGAACCTGGATTCTGGGGATTCGCTCAGCTCATTCCTCAGGTGAATCGGTGCAGTTGGCTGAGTCCGCCGCAGCACAGGAGCGTCTTAGACGGAGGTGAAAAAACCCACCCGGGGCCTTAAATTCTCTGGAAAAATCAGGAATGTACTTACCCTCTGGTAAACTAACATAGCTATGGAAAATCACATTTTTTATGGGTAAATCCACTCTAAATGGCCATTTTCAATAGCTATGTTAGTTTACCAGAGGGTAGTAATCCATGCAATTTGGGAGGTAGTACATTTTTGAAATGAAGGCTATAGCCTATAGCGACCATTTAAGAACATCAAGCCAGAGAAAAGGATGTGACATAGGGCATGACCAGCGAGGTGACGACGAAATCCAAGTGATGGCCTTTCCAAGTGAAGTCGCCTGTGACCCCTAAAAGATAAAGGGACCTCCATGGGAGTATCATACTTGGGGGGATGAACATCCATCCGAGCTATTTTTGGGCTTCATCAGGGTATAGAATGGTATAAGATGGTATAATTGAAGAGGGTTTTGACCCATGGCCAAATTGGACACGTTTGAAAGTCAGTGGCGGGTGAAATGTTCAGAAAGGTCACATCCCAGGTCGGGTCAGCTTGTTCCGCAGGATGCGGATCCACAGCGATTTGAGGCACGGAAATGGTGAGTTGGTGCAGGCAAAGTCAAGGTGTTTCCCAGTAGAGGAGGCGACTTTCTTTGTCCAAAAATTGTGTACTGCTACAGAAGTTGGTGCGGTGCCATTTCTGGAAAATCTAAGATCATTTAATGATGTTCAGTTTCTTGGGAGTCCCAAAAATATTTCAACGAAAAAACCTGACTTCTCAGCGCGGCTCAGCGCGCAACATCACCAGTTGCTGGGATCCTCGTAGGCTGCGGCGGGCGGGTTTCACCCTCATCAACCTCGAGGTCGAGAAGAGCAAGATGCCAGGCGAAACGACCTGGAGTCAACTGAGATTTGCAAGATGGGATTGAATTGGCTAAAAGATGTTGAAAGCGGGTCCTTCCCCCTAAAGTGTATGATGTTTAATGATGTTTATGTTGCTGATGTTATAATGTTAATTCTTTTGCTATTCATATTACTATATAGGTTATAGCATTAATATCATTTGATAACCCATAGGATCCATGGTGCTGCATGGTGCTGCTATATATGGTAGCATGGTCCCATTTTTATGTTGGCATATTAATATACCAGCACCATGAATCCTATGGGTATTACTATAGCATTAATATCCTTTGATACGGATGAGCCAGCGGATTTTGTTTGTACCGGGTACACCTGGGCACGGGGCATGGACACTGCCACAACGGCACCTCCCAGAGACTTCGCCGAGACCGACTTGGCCAGGCGTTCCGCGTTTGCGGAACCGGGGCAGCTACCATGGAATACGGTGAAGCACGGGAGTTTGATCCTGATTGGATCCTGGTGTGCCTGGATAAACGCTGCGCTGCTTTAAGTGGACATTTTTTGGGAGCTCATGTCTATGGTAATTTGTAGTAAACAAGCTAGTAAAACCTAGTAATGAACAACCTCCAATATTGCCATGGGTTTGATTTGAATCATCCTCAACTGGTGGGGCTAATGGCCTTGAATTTACCGCATGGTCAAAGTTTCCTGGGCTTGAAATTGGCAATCCAAGAGTTTCTTGGTGTAGTGAACATATGTGAACATTGTGATTTTATTTACATAAGGTAAAGATGGGTGATGAAGTTGTCTTTGATCGTGTTTGTTCCAGGTGATTGTTGATTGCCAGTAGTGGTCGAAAAGATCCATGAGATTCTATAATGCATTGTTAGAGATTGATAGGTTGCAAGTATTAGACCTACGTATGTTTTCCAATATGTGGGGGGGATGAATATCCAGGTGTGGCAGGTATTCGAGATGGTTTAACTTCCATGTCTTGGTTCGACCCCCACGTTTGATGGCTAAATCATGTAAAAGCCCCGTGTTAGTCCTCCTGCTATATGGCTCCGTGAGTTTTCTCAAGGGCCATTGTTTTGTCATCGTCATGTTGCCTCAAAATACCCTGTGAGAAGGTCTTTGGAACCCAAAACCACCCCCAAATACAGTCTCCCATTTTTCGTGGAGCACAAGGGATAGTATGTTATAGAAGTATACCGTATATTATTCAAACATGATGTATAATAATGTATTATATATATAATATGTATATATATATATGTATATATACATACATACATACATACCTACCTACCCACCCACCTACATACATACATACAAACATACATACATACATACATACATACATACATACATATGTATACATACATATGTATACATACATATGTATACATACATATGTATACATACATATGTATACATACATATGTATACATACATATGTATACATACATACGTATACATACATACATACATACATACATACATACATACATACATACATACATACATACATACATACATACATACATATGTATACATACATACATATGTATATATATATAGGCATGGTAATCTAGAACATATTCGTTTGTTCTTTGTGAATGCTGCATTTTGATGATCCCAAGCAATTTGATGGTAAAAGCAATGCTGTCCGGTGTAGCCGAACCATTCCTATACTTGAGATCATGATGCCAGATAGGTCTGTCCAAAAGAGTGGTACATTCATATGGTTGTTCATTCTCATCAGATTTCATGAAGGACGGTCTTGATATACCGTTGGAGTTTCGGGGAATATTAACCATGATATACCCGTGATATGCCCCATGTTCGGACAAACCTGAACGCATACTTTTAGGATGGATTGAAATTACTCACGTGCAGATCCTATGCCCATGCTGCGCATACTCTGCGCCTGCTGAGGTGTTTCTCTAGTGTGGACCATCCTGCGTGAGTGGGAAACCGTGGTAGACATTCTGCAGCTCGGCGCTTCGTGTCGGACTGGGGGACAGTCCGAGACAGGGGTATGCCCACAAGATTGCCATTCTACTGGAGAAACCATTAATTATGGTTGATGATTTTTGATAATAAACTATATAATACGATAAAATTATATACAATAAATGATTGATCATCAATTTTGGAGGGGCTGCAGCGTGGTTTTAAAAAACGGCTGTGGATGTTTGATCTCATGGGTTGACCAATGACTTGAAACAGTGTTTTAGCAGTAAATGGTTTAGCAATTGGGATTTCAGCAATATTCAATAATATACATATGGTAATAGCATTTCACAATGTTTCATCATGTTGACCATGTTCAGCAGCAAACCATCCCATTTTTGTGTAACCAATGACTGGTTCACCCTGCACAGTTTTCCATGACTTGGAGCGTCTTGTAGCCCGGACTTTTAGCCTCGCCTCAGTTGCTTTGCTGGGCATAGTTTTTTCACCCAATTGATATGTATATATATATATACATATACATTATATGCATATTACATCATAGAACTATATAATATTATATATGTGTGGAATATACCTCAGTCAATTAAATATGGAATATCCCCAAATGAAATCAGTTAGCAAAAGGTGAGTGTGGCATGACTCTTACATACCAAGTGGAGTTGGAGAGATTACAAAATGGGTATTTCGCTTGCACTCGCACCTGAGAGACACAACACGAGATATCGGCGAATTGCCGGTAACGGTGAACTTGTATAGAGGTACTTCGTGGCTCATCCCACAAATCGAGTTCTCACCCTAGTTATAAGTGGATTAACCCTATGCATATCCCACTGCAAAAAAAAACAAACAGAAACGGAAGAAACGGGCTATGTTTGATAACCATACTTGAAGTAACTTGGTATTGGTGGGATAAGACACCAAGTATCCACTTACTTTTTTGTTTAAGTGAAGAGGCTAGTCCTACTATCAATACTAGTAGTACTATCAATACTTTTCATGGATTAGCGAAATCCCAAGTATGTGTTTCTTCTTACACATTCCTTTTTTGGGATTAGCCCTCAATAAGTGATGGATATATCATGATATATCTGCCATAAACCCCGAAAATTCCGGGATTTCAAGGACTCCGCCTCTTCCAAGCAGTCCCGATCTGGAGCTTCTCTACGACGGGCCTTGGCCACGATTCTTTGAGCCCAGAGGCAGCGCCGGCAGCACCGGCAACTTTTTGGGTGACCCAAAAAGATGGATGGGGATTTCGCCATGGAAAACATGGGGTATACCCTCTGGTAAACTAACATAGCTATTGAAAATGGCCCATTTATAGTTGATTTACCCATTAAAAATGGTGATTTTCAATAGCTATGTTAAATTACCAGAGGGTAACTATGTATAACTATGGTTATCTATGGTTATTAATGGTTATGAAGGACTACACAGAGATTTACTTGGTGGCGGACTAGCCACGAAATATATTTATATAGGTAGGTGATATCCCTTTTTTTTCAGTGGAATAAGTAGGGTTTATCCCCTTATAACTAGGTGAATTAACCTACTTACTAAGTGGTATGAGCCGCCAAGCATGATTTTATGGGATCGAACCTATCAAAATTAGGATCTAACGGACTTATGATGGGATATGATATATGTATATATAATGTTTTTATATATACTATAAATACATATATATATAATATAAATACATATACATATATATTTATATATATATATATATAGATATATATATACATAATATATATATATACACATAATAATAAATATGTTGTATCAACTCATATCAAAAGTTGGATTAGATAAACCCATTAATTACGGGATGAAAATCAATTCATTTTTTGAGGGATCTATCCATGATGTAAGGATCTCCATGGCGAGGGATGTGAGCATACCCCATAAACCATGTTTTGACCGTGGCACATGAAATAACTATGAAATAAGCTCAGTTGTGACCATTGTATACATCTATTAGATCTATGCCAATAATTGCCACCAGTGTTTAGTATGGTACTAAAACATCCATTTTGTAGATGACCATTTTGAGCCCATACCAATCTCCAAGGGTGTCGCTCTCTCTTGTTTTCTGAGAACAGCGGGAGTTCACCACTGGAAAATGGAACTGCACCACCTAAAATGGGGGTTGTACTGGGTTACCCTCTGGTAAACTAACATAGCTCGGGAAATCATCATGTTTGATAGGTAAATCACCTATCAATGGCCATTTTCAATAGCTATGTTAAAATTACCAGAGGGTATACCTTCTGGAAACAAACTGAGCTGGCTGGAAGATCTATCCCTGCCACCTCGAATCGGCACAAATACATGCTCGTGTGAGAGATTTATGCTATACGTGTGCGGTTTTTCTCCAAATGAACGTAATTGTAGACCTCTTGGCCATTGTTTCATTTTGTGTGTTTGGAAGCCAAATTAATGAGCGCACTTTCCCTGGCAATGAACGTATATAAATACCCGACACCAATGCACGTGACGTGTTTGAGCTCAACTGAGCATCAAAAGTCGGAATCAGCAAAATCCAACCCAAGAATGTTATGCGCTATTGAAAGATCCAGGTGATGGTATGCCTGACATTGCTATAGAGAGTACGCCTGACATTTGATCAACATTGAAGGATTGTTGGGGAATGATTCGTCAAGATTCTGCTGTTGAAACTTAAGATGAACCATGTTGACCTCCGAAACTTCTCCACCTGGATCTTCCTGGATATTAAAATGGCGTCCTGCCAGGGCTGGCCTGTTCTTTCACGGAGCATGAGACGGAACGGCTGCTGATTGCTGAGAAGCACGATGTGTCTCGGCGGAATTCTTGAGCCCCCGGATGAGCAAATCCAAGGGATTGGAAGCTGTGGGCTCATCCCTGAAAGTTACCGGAAAATCAATGTTTTTGGTGTCAACACCAGTAAGAGGCCATGCGCGTGTGGATATTTTGGGTGTGGGGGCGGGTGGGGGTGGGGGGTTGGGAGGGGATGGGGTGGGGTGGGGTGGGATGTTAACGTTCATTTCGACGGCAACCACATAGTGCGTTCTCCTGCACTTCCACACATACGTCATGCTACGCTGCTGCACGTTCTCTTGCACTTCCACACATACGTCATGCTACGAGCCAGAACAGCTTGCTATGCTGATGGTTGCAAATTTGCAAAGCTTGGAAAGGAGCCTCCAAACAACAAGTGCCAGAAAAACGCCTCAAATGGCCAAACGTTGCCCACAACCGCGGTGAGTTTGTGAAGCTTGGCCGAAACACAGACTTTTGACAGACAGTGGGATGGGTAGACAGTGGGATGTGTTAAAAACACGATTCCCCGGCAGTTGCATACACATAAAGACTGCAGACAAGACCCCAGAAAATTTTGGAAGTACTTGTATGCTGCAGTCTGACGCAAGAGCATCAAAGGCAATGTCCTGAACAACCTCGGACAACTTTGTGCTTGAAAGGAAAAAAGGAACTTTTCGGCGAAACCCTCGACGAACAAAACTCCTGTTTCGTGCTTGTAAAACACTAGATTTTCCACTTTTGAAGTGACCCTTCCAAGGGATTTGTACCAGAAATTTATTTCAGAAATTCAAAAATGTATAAATTACTACAGTTTCGGACACTTCCCTCATCGTCCTTGCCTTGTGTGATGTCATCACCGACACGGCCTCTTACAGGTGCTGTTACCATGTTTTTGACGTGTTTGGACTGGATCCATCCCCATATTTTTTTGTAGCCTCAAGTTCGCCAAGTCAAAGTATGTTGAGATTGGTTGCTGGTCTTTATTTTAGTTTATTGATATCTGTTGGTTCTGGAACATCCAGTGCCTCGAGGGATTTTGAGCCAGTGAGGCTATTCATCTACTTCGGAGCAAGGAAGACATAATATGTGTCAATTCCCCATTAAATGATCATTAGATACACCCATTAGATCCCCATCATAGAGTTTTTTCCCATTGGTTGGTTCATGATTGATATATGGTAATGATTGTTTATTAATGGTTGATGATAATCAATTTCCTAGAGTATACATATATCTATATACACATTATTGTATTATATTTTGTTATATTACAGTATATCCTGTTCTATTATATTGTATTATTTACTATACATTATTTATTATTTATAGTATATCATATATATATTATTAAATATTACTTATTGTGTATTATGTACTATAGATTTGTTTGTTTATTATTCATTATATATTATATATTATCATTTTTTATTTATTATTTATTATGTATTATGTATTATGTATTATGTACTATACATTACAAATATCACAAATATTACATTTATTACATATATTACATATATTACATATATGACAAATAGTACATATAGTACATATATTACATATATCACATATTACATATATTACATCTGTTACATGTATTACATGTATTACTTGTATTACATGTGTTACATATAGTACATATAGTACATATATTACATATTTCACATATATCACATATATTACATTTATTACATATATTACATGTATTACATGTTACATGTATTACATGTATTACATATATTACATAATATTGCATATATTACATATATTACATTTGTTACATATATTACATATATTAGATATTTTACATATCTTCCATATTACATATATTACATACATTACATATATTACATATATTACATATATTACATAAAGTACATATAGTACATATATTACATATATCACAAATATCACATATATCACATATATTACATATATTACATATATTACATATATTACATATATTACATATATATAACAAATAGTACATACATTACATATATTACATATTATTACATACATTACATATATTACATATATTACATATATCACATGTATTACCTGTATTACATGTATTACATGTATTACATGTATTACATGTTACATGTATTACATGTATTACATATATTACATATATTACATAATATTGCATATATTACATATATTACATTTGTTACATATATTACATATATTAGATATATTACATATATTAGATATATTACATATATTAGATATTTTACATATCTTACATATATTACATATTATTACATCTATTACATATATTACATATATTACATATATTTCAAATAGTACATATAGTACATATATTACATAATATTACATATACAACATATATTACATTTATTACATATATTACATATATTACATTTATTAGTACATATATTACATATATTACATATTATATATATTGCATATATTACAAATAGTACATATAGTACATTTAGTACATATATGACATATATCACATATATTACATATATATTACATGTATAATTTAATATACAGTATATTTTAGTTTCCTGAAAAGGGACGATCTCTTTGTTGATCTCGATGGCACCTCGAGGTGCATCAGCTCGTGGTTTCGAACCGTTCGGATCGCTCGTGGCGTCTTTCCAGGAGCCACCTGGAGGCGGTAGCAGTGTTCGAAGCACGGATCGAAATATCTACCATTACCCATAGGACCCATGTATGCTATATATGGTAACATGGATCCCGTCAATATACCCCCAATATTAGCATATATTCAGCATACATGGATCCTATGGGTTTGGGTTATTTAACATAGCTATGGAAAATTCATTATAAATGGAGGTTTTAATGGGAAAATCATCTGTAAATGGGCCATTTTCTATAGCTATGTTACTAAAGTAAGACCTTTTCTCTACTTTTCTGGCACTTCAAAAAAACAACAACTACAGGAATTCCTTCCTATTTTTGAAGGTTGGTGGTCAATACACTAATCTAAATAGTCGTAAATAAATATGTCTCCAACCACTTTGTTTTGTATCTAAGCAACTCCCCCCAAAAAGAATCCCCGTGACTTTTTCATTCGCTGCGCGCCCATGCCCCCTTACAGGTGACACGGTGACCCCAACAGTGGCTGATGAACAAGCCATGATTCGTGTTTTTTGGTGGTTAGTAAATCCCTGAATAAAGTTTTTTTTTTAAGGGTCGCCTTTGAGTGGGGTTGCTTGAAAGGAAAAAAAAAAGGCAAATTACAGATCGATCTTGGTTGGTACTTTCATCTCTATTCTAGATCTCTGTGTTTGGGACAATTAGCATCATTGGTCTATGTTTTTATGTTTTGTCTGTGCGATTAGAAAAAACTTATTTTTAGCTGCTAGTTTGCTTTTTCAAATTCCCTCCGTCATGGTCTACATCCCCTTTTCGGTTTTGCTATGATCCGATGGTGGAATATATGGTGCTGTTTAGTCACCACTTTGGTCAGATTACATGTTTACTATCTCAGAGTCAGTGGATCACCAGACCTTAATCGTTCCAGAAGTACGTTGTACGTTGGCGTTCCCAAGAGTTGGGTTATTTTTTTTCAGGTATTCAAAGCCAATTCGGTGAGAATTAACACCCTTGTTGCTTTGATGACTAGACGTCAGTTGTAGTGTTACCCTTGCAAAAAAGGATAACCATATGCCTTAGCTAAACCCAAAAGGTCGCTGCGGCCTGTTTTTGAAGTTATTTAGACGTATTGAACGTGGGGGGGCGTACGGCCATCTGAGCGAGGGTACGGCGGGCGAACGGGGGGGGAACGGGGGGGCGAACGGGGGGACGAACCGGGGGGCGAACGGGGGGGCGAACGCACACATGCACACACGTACGCACATACGTACGCACAGACGTACGCACGTACGTTCGCACGTATGCACGTACGTAGGTACCATGTTCAGACCCATGTTCAAGCCCATGTTCAGACCCATGTTCAGAAATAAGGTTACCTTTGAAAAGTGACCTCCTAATACTAAATATGCTTTAGGAGGCTTAGGGTCGTACAGAAATAAGGTTACCTTTTATATAAAAGGTAACCTTAAAGGTAACCTTATTTCTGAACATGCATGTGAACGTGCGTGCGTACATGCACATGAACGTGCGTGCGTGCATGCGTACGTACGTGCGTACATGCGTATGTGCGACCCCTTCGTGCGACCCCTTAATGCGCCCTCAAGGGGGTGGGCCCGCCCTCAAAATTGCACGGGTTTCGAATACCAACAACTTTGTACCAGTATTCTTGGGTTGTATAAGTAGGTGTAAAATAATTTCGGCACAGGTTGACTGTACTAATTATCACCAGGCAAAACAAGACTAGTCGAATCGTTCGCCCGTCCGCTCGCCCCCCCGCTCGCTCGTGCGGGCGACGTTCGTCCACCCGTTCGCCCGCATGTTCGCCCCTACGTTCGCCCCCCCGCTAACTCTTCGTGCGGTTTTCAACATATCCACGGCAGCGAGTTTTTGAGTTTAGCTAACATATGCCAAATTTTGAAAGAGATAAGCCACAAATTCAGCCACTGAATAGCCACATTAAACCACTGGGACTTCCTAAAATACTACCCAGGTTTTGGTGACTCAGCTGGGATGGTCAGGCCCACTGTTTGGCGCGAGCGCCTGAGTGACTTGGACTGGTGGTGCCAGACGTGTTTTTTTTATTGCCGGGTCAAAATTTAAGACTTAGGGACCTAAAGCATCCATTTTTGTAGCCAATTTCGAGCCATACCCATGTTGGGATAGAGAAAAAGGGAGTTGTTTGAACAAGTAGATGGAATGGGGTACCCATTATTCGCAAGATTTCGTGGTAGATAAAGTATCGAACTAGTTCATGGGCTACAGAAACTTACTGTGTGTTACGCACCAAGCTTTGGAGTTTGGGGGATCTAATGTGATACAAATATCTTAACATGATTTATAGTGGGGTAAATGGATTTTCTACTGGCCGGAAAAAAAACACATTTTCGGTACCACATAGAATCTCAAAGCATACTTTTGATAGGGATCAATGATTTTGAATCATACCCAGATGGATTAGGGGATTGAAGCAGGGAACATGTGACAATGTGGGTGTTGGCCCACCAACAAAATTAGGGATCTAAACAACGGCGGGAACAGCCAATTCAAACCTGAGACTATATCAATTATATACAATTTATATTCCATTAATATCAACACATATATATATATATAGAGTTTATATAGAGGTAAAACTCTGGATATCTCTAAGATATTGAAGGATTCAAGAATGATGAGATGTTCCACCTATGAACTATGCTGTGGAATTATTGGGTTTCAAGAATGTTGGGAGCCGCCCAACCTGTAGATTTGTCTAGTGGGCAATCGTCCCAGAAGTTACATCCCAGTTTATACCCATAGAGAATTTAAATATTGATTGCAGTATTCCATTGTATATCCCTGATATTGAACATCGGAAGGTTTATCCGATATTAAACATTTTGGTTTTTATCCCATGGTTTAAGTGTTGATCCCATAGTATCCCATGTTGATTACCCATATGTCTCTCATTTTATAACATAGATATTACACCATGTTTATCCTTTGGTAATTTAACAGCTGGCTACTGAACATTTAAATAGAAATAGTTGATTTACCCATGAAAAATTATCATTTTCCATAATTCTGTCAGTTTACCAG